GCGGGCATGGTCGGTGCCTGCCTATATCCCAGCTACTCGGGAGGTTGAGGCAGGAGAATTGCTATGAGCCAGGGAGATTGAGGTTGCTGGTGTGCTAGGCCTGAAGCACAGAACTCCTGGCTCAGGCAACAGCGTAGGCCTCTGTCCGTCCCACCCCACCCCCCACCCCCCCACGTTAGGCGTCCGCGATTCCCCCCCAGGTTTCAAACCCATATTCTTATCTATAATCGTTATTGGACACCTGAAGTACTTTGCTATGTGAACAAGTGATAAACCAACCAATCTAAGTACATTAAATAAATTTAAAAACACTACTATGATAATTAGTATGATATCGAGACTAAATGTTATTTTGAAGTTTAAATTAACGAATATTATATCTGGGCGCAGGCGCAGTGGCTCACGCCTGTATGCTAGCTCTCTGGGAGCGGCCGAGGCGGGCGGTCGCTCGCAGGCTCAAGCCAGAGTTCAAAACCAGCTGAGGCAGAGCGAGAACCCATCTCTACTATACACCCTATTGAAAGAAAACTATTGGCCAACTGATATATTATGATAGAAGAATTAGCCGGGCCATCGCGGTGGCGCATGCCTGTAGTCCCAGGGTTTACCTCGGCGCAGGCCTGAGACGAAGGATGCTCGAGCAGGCGTTTGAGGCTTGCTGGTGAGCTACGGCTTGACGCCACGGCACTCACTCTAGCCTGGCGCAACAAAGCGAGACTTCTGTCCCTCAAAAAAAAAAAAAAAAAAAAAAGAATATTATATCTGGACAAATGATTTACAATTACCAATTTAATGTCCCTTTGGAGTCTACAGATATGTCTTAATTCCTTCTTCCATACCCCTTTGAATCAATTAATATTACATCTTGATCGGATATAGACGGGGTTTAATATGGCCAGTTATATTACCTGTAAATATTCTTATCTAGTATTCTTATATTCCTTACTTAGTTTCTGTAATTTCTGTTGCCTTCTCCTTTTTATTATCTCCTTCATTAAGCTTCAATTTAAACTGGAGTCCCCCTTGGGGGTTTATGGGGATTTAGTAGGTAGATTCTTTTTCTTAGTAACTCATCAATCCGTAAGCCTCTACCCTACAGATTCAAGACAATAAAGAGCCCTAACAAATTAAGGGAAATGAACAGGCCCCTTATGAAGTTACAGTAATTAAAAATCAAATTTAGAACGTTTAATTTCAAACCTAACAATTAAAAACCCAATACTGTTTCATTTCCTTAAAACTGGCTAAGACAAATTCATTCATGATATTTAGTAAGAACTTTTGGTGTAAGATGAAGTGCAAAGATTTGTAACACAATCTATGCAGGCATAAAATTTAAGTAAAATGCTACTAAAAGGTCACCTTGTTCTTTCTCTACGGCATCTATATTATCACTTTAAAATGCTAACAAAAGCTGAATAAGGTATCTCTGTAAAATTGGGGGGAAAATTAGTATTAATTTTAAATAGTTGGTATATACAATATTAAAACTGCTATTTTAAAAACAGTTTTCTTGGCTAGGCACACCAGCTCATGCCTGTGATCCCAGCACTTTAGGAGGACCAGCAGGAAGATCACTTGAGGCCAGGAGTTCAAGACCAGCCTGGACAACATAGTGAGACCTTGTCTCTACAAAAAACTTAAAAAAAAAAAAAATTGGCTAGACATGATGCATGCCTACAGTCCCAGCTATTCAGGAGGTTGAGGCAGGAGGACTGCTTGAGCCCAGGAGTTTGAGGTTGCAATGAGCTACGATCGTGCCTCTATAATCCAGTGTGGGCAACAGAGCAATAAATACCCTGTCTCTTAAAAAAAAAAAGTTTTCTTCTAATTCTAATATATCTTATGAAAAATTCAAATATTTTTATGTATTTTTATCCTACTAATGAGAGAGGAATGAGAACCAAGGAATTAACATGATCTATGTAAGGTATTTTTTTTTTTGAGACAGAGTCTCACTTTGTTGCCCAGGCTAGAGTGAGTGCCGTGGTGTCAGCCTGGCTCACAGCAACCTCAATCTCCGGGGCTCAGCGATCCTACTGCCTTAGCCTCCCGAGTAGCTGGGACTACAGGCATGCACCATCATACCCAGCTAATTTTTTCTCTATATATTTTTAGTTGGACAATTAATTTTTTTCTATTTTTAGTAGAGATGGGGTCTCGCTCTTGCTCAAGTTGGTTTCAAACTCCTGACCTTGAGCGATCTGCCTGCCTTGGCCTCCCAGAGTGCTAGGATTACAGGTGTGAGCCACCACGCCCGGCCAATGTTTCTCATCTTTGATTGGTGTAAAATTGTACGTCGGGTGAGGCATATGAGGTGTACTCTTATAGCTTGAAGGGAAGCTTAACAGTATTAGCTTGGACTCTGGATTTAAGATTTTATTTACTTTGTAGACTTGGACTATTTACTTAAAATTTCAGTGTTTCAATTTCTTTGTTTATAAAATAGTTATAATGATGCCATCCTAATAAGTAATAAAGTTATTGTGAGTGTTAATGCACGTTAAGTGCTAAGTATAATGGCAGGCATGTAGTTAAGTTTCAATAAATGTCTACTATGATCATTATTATTTTCAAATAGAAAGGATTAGATGTTTTATACCTTTGTAAGCTTCATTGAGTCTAACATAGTACTCTATATCAGAGTATTTTTATTATTACATAGTTGTTGAATACACAATGAAAAATGGAAAATGACATTGTATGACATCATAGGAAAGATAGTAATTATTTTTTCTGCTAATTTTCTTAAATCTTAAGCAGAAAACATATTTTGCATAAGTGGATGAGAATTTATGCTGCATCATTATAGTTCGGACAAATCATAGAAATAAAATATACCAAGATTTTTAAGGTATCACCTACAGGAATAAAAGCTCCTAAATCTTCCACGTAACCTGGGTGCTCCTTAAGCCATTTTTCCAAATCCTTTCTCTTCGGTGCATCATCTCCTGCAAGTCTTGTCCCATCTTTAAGATTAATAACTGGAACTGGACTTTCCGTATCAGGAATTCCTTGAGGTTGAGTGTAGGATAGTGCTGGATTTATCCCTGTGGAAATCTGTGAGGTGTTTAAGCCCAAAGTAACCTGTAGAACAACACCAAAAGAAATTTTTATTTCCAAGCTTTATCATTCTAATTTTGATTCAATGGAACAATTCTTTTTAAAGAGAAAAAAAAACTTGTTGCTTAAAATTCTGCTAAATCTTTTAAAATTAAAATTTTCATGAATCTTGGTCAGTGTTGGATTTCTGCTGAGATACAACAGAAAGCAATATACTTCCAATTTCCTTATTATCCTATTAATACTAAACATTCACAAAGAGCAGTATGTATATTTACTAGGACTGAATTTTAGACTCAAGGATAGTTTTTAAGTACTGCTTTACTTACGTGATTAGGTGGTTTATTTTTGTTAAAAAAGAGGATGTCAACACCTTCTACATTCTTCCTCCTTCCTCGCCTTTTTTTGACTATAGGCTGGTTGTCTAATATCACTCCATTGGCACCAAGGGTTGATTGAATGGAAGTACCTATCAAATTAAAGTGCAAAATAGTGATGTCAATCTAGTTCTTATACAGAGTGAAAGTAATCACTTTCCTAAATATACAGAAATGTTCTTATTTTATATATCTTTAATCAAGCAATTCTTGAATTAAAAACACCATCCCTACCTCTCATTTAAAAACTTGAAGAATTGTAATCTAGGCCTTTTTCAACTTTTTTTTTTTCCCCCTCACCAATAACCGTTGGGAACAATTTTTTCTGTTTTTTTTTTTTTTTTTCTCTTTCAACTTTTGACTTGTTTTCTCAATTTCTTCCCTAAGATATTCACACACCTTCTTTTCCTTCATCTTTTAGAGGAAAAAGCATGAACTTCTCTGGTCCAAGACAAACCTTTCCCCTTTCTCTGAACCCATTAATTCCTACATTTTTTAAAAGCTTGCTTTTAATATTTATCTCTGCTTTTCTTGTGCCAAAATATCTTTTTTCTACATTAGATTCTTCTTCCAAATGTAAAAATATGGCCTAACTCAAACAAACAAAAAATAAACTTCGGCCAGACATGGTGGCTCAGGCCTATAATCCTAGCACTCTGGGGGTATAAGACAGGAGGATTATTTGAGGTCGGGAGTTTGAGACCAGCCTGAGTAAGAGCTGGACCCCATCTCTACTAAAAAAATAGAAAAAATTAGCCAAATGTGGCGGCGCATGCCTGTAGTCCCAGCTACTTGGGAGGCTGAGGCAGGAGGATCACTTGTGCACAGGAATTTGAAGTTGCTGTGAGCTAGGCTGACGCCACTGCACTCTAGCCTGGGTGACAGAGTGAGAGACTCTGTCCCAATAAAAACCTAAAAACAAAAGAACCTTGTTGACCTTTTTATAACCCCCCAAATTTTGAAAGATTGTTCTCTACTATGTTCCTTTTTTTTCACAAGCAATTCATTTCTCAAATTCCCATAGTCCATTCCTGCTCCAGCCTACTTAAGGTATTTTCCTTAAGGTTACCAATAACTTTTTAGTTGTCAAAAATGCCTTTCACATGCCAGTAGGCATTCAATAAAAATGTTTATAAGAAGTATGAATGGAATAGCTCCACATGTTCATCCTTTTTCTTGATAAATATTTTTTGAGTACCTATGTATTAGGCAGTATGACGGTTCAAAGACAAATAAGACATTGTTCCTTTCCTCAAAGAGTACATAATCTTGAATTCTCTTATTAGAAGAAAATATTATTAAGGGTGAGATTCTTGTTTAAAATAGTTTACATGCTTGTAATGAGAAATGCATTTTCAATCATTCAAGCAGAATTTACTGAGCAAGTCCTGTTTATACCTGAATAAGCTGTTGTCCTTTGGCTGGCTGTGTAACCATGTGGAAGTCACTTACCTTACTCACATCTTAGTATCAAAAGTTTCTTAATTCATATGGTAAGGAAAAACTAATTACAATAATTAAAAAGCAGTTTTGCATATATGAAAGTACTATAGGAATGGGACATAACACTACGGAAAAAAAAGATTTTATTATATTCATATAGTGAATTTTATTATAATCAGATTAATGAAATATCACAGATATTTTTTGATATCATACTGTGGTTGTAGGAGATGCTGGTGGAGGTAGGTGGTTGGGGTAGGGGGCGCATGGGACTTTCCTATACATTTTTTGTATCTTTCTGTGAATCTATAATTATCTTAAAACAAAAAGTTATACAAATTAAAAACAAAACACACACACAAATAAATGGAAAAGAAACTGCTAGGGGAAAAAAGATATAGCTGAAAGTCACTGTGTACCCCCATCCTCCATTCCACTTTCTTCTTCTCTATGGTTAATACTATCCTGAATTAGGTATTTTTCATTTCCATGCACATTTTAAACTTTTATTCATGTTGATACATAAATCTGAACACTATACAGTTGTTTCTTGGTATGCACAGGGGATTGGTTCCAGGACCCTCATGGATACCAAAATCCAAGGTTGCTTAAGTCCTTTCTATAAAATGGTATAATATTTGCATATAACATATGTACATCCTTCTATATACTTTAAATCTGTGGACCCAACCCCTGGACCGCAGACTGGTACTGGTCTGTGGCCTGTTAGGGACCAGGCCTTACAGGAGGTGAGTGTTGGGCAAGTGAGTGAAGCTTCATCTGTATTTATAGCTACTCCCCACCACTCCCATCATTGGCTGCGCTCCACCTGCTGTCAGATCAGCGGTGGCGTTAGATTCTCATAGGAGCATGAACCCTACTGTAAACTGCACATGCGAGGGATCTAGGTTGTGTGTTCCTTATGAGAATCTGATGCCTGATGCTCTGAGGTGGAGCTGAGGCGGTGATGCTAGCGCTGGGGAGCAGCTGCAAATGCAGATTATCACTAGCACAGAGGTTTAATGGCATAGAGACCATAATAAATCAATTGCTTGCAGACTCATATCAAAATGCTATCAGTGAGTGGCAAGTGACAATTAAGCTGCATCTGGTGGCAGGCTTTAAGTCAGAATCTGACACTTACTTAGTCTGTGCATGGCCCGCCCATTATTTTATTTACCACTTCTGTCGGCACCTCTTTCCCACACTGCACATTTGTCTCAGTCACAGTTTTGGTAAGCCCATAAGCTAATCCTAGCAAAAATGAGTTAAAAAAAATGTCGCTGGAAAGCTTCTTTGACCCAATGATGAGACAGCAGAAGACTCTAAGACTGTCAACAAAATGAAAGCTACATTTAAAAGAAAATACCAAGAGTCTTACTTAAATTACAGGTTCATTGCAATAGCTAATTCACACGTGAAAACTTCAAAACTGCTTTGCCGCATGGAGACCAAGCACCCTGCACTAAAACATAAGCCTTTGGAGATTTTCAAAAGACAAAAACGTGACCACGAAGGACGGAAGCAATTATTGAAGGCCACCACTTCATCAAATGTGTCTGCACTGAGAGCGTGATCCTTAGTGACTAAGCACATTGCTAAAGCCAAGAAGCCCTTGACTGCTGGTGAAGAGTTGATCCTGCCTGCTGCTAAGGACATTTGCCGTGAACTTTTAGGAAAGGTTGCAGCTCAAAATGTGGCTTGTGTTCCTCTTTCAGCTAGCACCATAACTAGATGAATTGATTAAACAGTAGAGGATACTGAGGCACAATTGTTAGGACTAATGAGTCACCATGGTACACAATCCAGGTTGACAAGTCTACCACTGTTGACAAAGCAACAAAGCTTGTTTTTGTACAATATGTCTTTCAGGAGGATGTGCATGAGGACATGTTATGTGTACTTTTGTTGCCAGCCAACATCACAGCTGCAGAAGTATTCAAGTCTTTGAATAATTACATATCAGGAAAACCAAATTGGTCATTTTGTGTCAATATATGCATGGATGGAACGGCTGCCATGACTGGAAGGCTTTCTGGTTTCATTGCTTTGGGTCAAGGAGGTTGCTTCTTTTTTTTTTTTGAGACAGAGTCTCACTTTGTTGCCCAGGCTAGAGTGAGTGCTGTGGCGTCAGCCTAGCTCACAGAAACCTCAAACTCCAGGGCTCAAGCAATCCTCCTGCCTCAGGCTCCCAAATAGCTGGGACTATAGGCATGTGCCACCATGCCCGGCTAATTTTTTCTATATATGTATTAGTTGGCCAATTAATTTCTTTCTATTTATAGTAGAGATGGGGTCTTGCTCTTGCTCAGGCTGGTCTCGAACTCCTGACCTCGAGCAATCCGCCTGCCTCGGCCTCCCACAGTGCTAGGATTACAGGCGTGAGCCACCGCGCCCGGCCAAGGAGGTCGCTTTTGAATGTGAGTCTGCTCTGCGTCATCCATAGAGAAATGCTGGCTAGCTGAAAAGGGTCACCTGAACTAAACATTTTGCAGGATGTGATTAAAATTATCAACCACATTAAAGTACATGCCCTTAACGCATATCTGTTCGTACAGCTCTGTGACGAGATGGACGCACAGCACATATCTTCTCTTATACACAGAAGCGAGATGCCTTTCTAAAGGTAGATCACTAGCCAGAGTTTCAGAGTTATGAGAGCCACTCCAGAGATTTCTTTTAGAAAAACAGTCAGCACTGGGAGCACATTTCAATGACACAGAATGGGTCCCCAAACTTCCTTACTTGTGTGACATATTCAACCTGCTGAACAAACTCAATCTGTCACTTGAGGGGAGAATGACAACTGGTTCAAGTCAGCAGAAAAAGTGGCTGCATTCAAAGTCAAACTGGAATTATGGGGGTGACAAGTGAACACTGGAATTTTTGACATGTTTCAAACATTAGAGAGTTTGAAACAGGCTGAGCCATGACCACCTTTCTCCCAGGTGGTACATGATCACCTATCTCACCCTTTTAAAAGAGTTTGAGCATTACTTCCCAATCACAAAGACCCCTGAACTGGTAAGGAATGGATCCGTAACTCACTTGAGAATAAGCCAAGTATATCAACTTTGTCCTTGCTAGAAGAGGATCAACTGCTTGAGATGACAAATGATGGTGACCTTAAAAGTATGTTTGGAGGGCTGGGCGTGGTCGCTCAAGCCTGCAATCCTAGCACTCTGGGAGGCCGAGCTGGGTGGATTATTTGAGTTTAGGAGTTCCAGACCAGCCTGAGCAAGAGCGAGACCCCATCTTTATTAAAAATAGAAAGAAATTACTTGGATGGCTAAAAATATAGAAAAAATTAGCCGGGCATGGTGGCACATGCCTGTAGCCCCAGCTACTTGGGTGGCTGACGCAGGAGGATCGCTTGAGCCCAGGAGCTTGAGGTTGCTGTGAGCTAGACTGACACCATGGCACTCTAGCCCAGGCAACAAGTGAGACTCTGTCTCAAACAAACAAACAAAAAAATGTCAATGGATTTACCAAAAGTCATGTATGAGACAGATCCTGATTTCACATTTGCAGTAATTAAGATAGATAAGATAAAATACTTAGATAATAATTCTATCTAACATAAATATCTGAGATTTTAAATATTTTGGATAGTTGCAAAATTTGTGTTACAACTGCTACTGATATTATTAAAAACAGTATTATTTACCAAATAATGACTTATAGGTGAAGAGTGTACAATCTTCAGCTGTAATAGCAACAAAATGTGTATGACAGAAGTATCAATCTCACTTTACAGTTGAGTTCTAAGAGTAAGAGCAGTAGTATTACTAAGTGCCACTTAGGTTGGGAAAAAGAGCCCACAGCTTATCTTCCCTATCTGTTCCCGTTTTCCAGTGAAAGGAAAGAGCTCCTTAATAATAAAACTCTAATTATAAAGCATAGTTTAGGGGATTTATGCTTTAGGAAAGAAGTGTAGTTGATTCATATTTGAACTGCATTTCATACATGTCTGAAAGTCTAGTAATTCGAAAATTATACTGAATGGTTAATGGATGCACAAAAGACCAAAGAGAGGCTGATGAAGCTGAACTAACTAATTTGTAATTAAAAGTGGTAATAGCAGCATTTGGAAATAGTGATCAGTTCAAGACACGACTTATAATACAGCATTATTTTCCCAAATTGTAGGAATTCCACACACTTTGCACATGCACAGGAATTCTGAAATATTTCCAAGTACTGCATGGCAACCAGACTTAGTAGAGTACTGAAATACAGTCCTTATCCTTATGTACAAGGAGTGTATAATGGAAATTCAAGTCATTCGTCTGCTTTAATTGACAAGCATTTTTGTGAATTAGTATGCTGTGTTCTAACATTGAGACTCAGTTGATCTTGAGTATCATTCTCAATTCTTGACATCTTACTTTAAGAGGGATGTAGACAAATTAAAATACAACTAGGCCTAGATAAAACAAATAGGCAAAAATAAAACAAAAGCAATGTCTAATGTATTCCTCAATGCCTACAGAACACATAATACATGGTACCAATTAGGTATTTAATAAATATTTGTTGATTGAAATTATCAAAAGCTTAGAAGAAACAGAGATAGTCTGAATGGGAGATCTGATGATTGCTTTCAAAATGTTAAGATGTTACAACAGACGTTTCTGGTAAAAAAAAAAAGAGAAAAAAAATAAAATAAAAAAAAAATAATAAAATAAACAAAATGTTAAGATGTATCGTGTAGACATAGGACCAACTTAATCATGTATTGTTGGTAAAGACAGAACTTCAACTATTGAGAAGAACCTATAGCAGGCAAACTTTACTTTCAAATAAAAAGATATTTTCTGACAATTAGAGCTGTCCAACAATAAAAAGGGTTGTTTACGGTAGTAAGAACCTCGTTCCTGCAAGTATTCCACAAAATGAAAGATTACCTTTTGGGGATCAAGTCATAAATAATTTCTGTATCCTGTATGCATGGACTATACAATCTCTAAGTTTTTCTAAAACTTCTCATTTTAATTACTTCTACCTATCACCATTACTTTGTGATTCATTTATTTATTTTTTGAGACAGGGGTTTGCTCTGTCACCCAGGATGGAGCGCAGTGGCATGGTCACAACCCACTGCAACCTTTGACTTCCATGCTCAAGCAATCCTCCCACCTCAGCCTCCCGAGTATCTGGGAATACAGGTGTGTGCCACCGTGCCTGGCTAATTTTTACATTTTTTCTAGAGAAAGGGTCTCACTATGTTTCCCGGGCCGGCCCTGAACACCTGGCTTCAAGCAGTCTTCCCACCTCAGCTTTCCAAAGTGCTGGGATTACAGGCATGAGCCACAGGTTCTGGCCAGTGATTTAACTTTTTATTTTAGAATTCATAATATACTTTCATACTGAAATTCTGTTTGAGCTTTCATCTGTATAAAACAACTTGGTAAAATGATGTTTCCACACTATTCAGGCCCCCAAAACTAAACTGCCCTCTGTGCTTTAAAATGTTACATTAAGAGTTCCAATAAAGGCCGGGCGCGGTGGCTCACGCTTGTAATCCTAGCACTCTGGGAGGCCGAGGCGGGCAGATTGCTCAAGGTCAGGAGTTCGAAACCAGCCTGAGCAACAGCGAGACCCCGTCTCTACTATAAATAGAAAGAAATTAATTGACCAACTAATATATATAGAAAAAATTAGCCAGGCATGGTGGTGCATGCCTGGTAGTCCCAGCTACTCGGGAGGCTGAGGCAGGAGGATGGCTTGAGCCTAGGAGTTTGAGGTTGCTGTGAGGTAGGCTGACGCCATGGCACTCACTCTAGCCTGGGCAACAAAGTGAGACTCTGTCTCAAATAAATAAATAAATAAATAAAAAGTTCCAATAAATACTTATTAAGATTTAAAATTATATTGATTATTTTACAGACTTAAGAGAGGTCCCAACATTACAGTAGAAATGAATTTTTACTATAAGAGTCTATAAAAGATTTAGAGATGACGGGATATTTCCTAGTACGACAGTTATTATTTGCATATTCACCTGATACTGGTATAGGTTTTGGAAAATTGGCGAGGCTGGTCTCTGACGCGCTTTGAAGCTCCCGAAGTCGGGTGAGGTACTGCTGCTGCCCCATAGCACCATCGTCACTATCCAAGGGTCTTTTCTGAGCAAGCCCTTGCTTTTGAAAGGTCAGCTTCAAACCAGCTTCCTGTTAAATAAATACCATTATTAGGACAGAAGCTATGAAAAAATCTTATTGCAGGATATTAAGAGAATTTTTTACTTAGAAAAAAAATGAAGTAAAACCCTTGATACATTAATGAAATTCTCTTCTCATTCATAAATCAACTGAATAAAACATTTTAATCCATTTCAATAATGAGTGCTACATTTTATATCTTAGATGAAAAAAATACAGGTACTCTATACACTTTTCTGAGCAAAACAAAGTTGTTCATATGACAAGTACATTGTAACATTTTCAGATTTAGACATACATCTCTATGTACGTTACGCATGTGACACTTTGGAGGACAATATTCATATTTTAGACCGTGAATAATCAATTAAGCTTCAAAAATCATTAAAAAATTAAACATTGATAACAGGACATGCTAAATGTTTAAAACAGAAAGTATACTGACATATCATTTAAACGTTATATAAAAGAATCAGTTAGAAATTGTCACACTGTTTAAGAAAACATCTTGATCAGAAGAACTACTTCAGAAGCATAAGGAGAGAAAAATATTTAATGATGATCCCTTTAGTAGACTATTCAAGTTTAATAACCTGGATATCAGAGAGAAAACAATCCAAATACCAGGAAACAAGTACGTGAAGGAAGGAAGAGTAAGAGCAGGCAGCCATTTGCAGGAAAAGCATGCTGCACACCGCAATCGCAATCAGGCCCTAGGGCAATAAAAATACACATACGTCTTTGATTTTCACTGTAAACTCCTTTTCTCGTACATGCTTCTTCACCTTTGACATCTGTGTTGACTGATCATGTTCTTCTTTAACACCGGCACCTGGGGGAGTGGGTGCGCTGGGCTCACTGTATTCTGTAGCTGCTCCAGGACTGTCCAGCAGTTTTGTGGTATAGAAAGAAGCCACGGTGTTAGGGTCGTAACTTCTTCTAGCTGAAGGCCACTTCCCTTTCAGAACTGTTTGACAAATACTGTCCAACCGATTGATCATCACACGATCCTATAAAAGCATGCAACATCCAAGTATAATTTTAATAACTAGGACAGACCTTTGGAGATCAAATAGCCCAAGAACCTTGATGGATTTAACCCTCCATCAAGAGTTTACACTCCAATATAAGTGCATGTAGCAAGCATACATATGCTTACATGTATATTACAATTCCGTAAGAAGCTATTCAAGTACAAATTCTCTTTGGTTAAATTCAAAAATATTATATCATAGTTTTCTATTCTTTTGTTTTTATAATTATAAAAGTAATACAGTTCCTTATAAAAAGTTCAAACAATTTAGAAGTATATAAAAGAGTATCCTCCATTTCCCCATTTCCAACCTCATTCCTAAAGGTTAAATATTCCTGTAGTAGCCTCGACACATAATGGAAAAATTGCATTAATTCAATCTTAGCTTCTGCCACTGAATGAACTTCTTCCCTAGGTCACAAGTGGCTACAGTAAATTTCTTCAAGGAGACTCAGTTGAAAGCACCTATTACATAAATAGGCACTTTAATATTAACTGGAATATAACAGTTATCTTTTATTCTAAACATTTTAAGGCTATGTTGAGAAGCATATGCATTTAAGTAGAACTAATTTACTTGATAATAATAATTTATACTTTTGATGCTAACAACATAAAACGTCATCCTACATTTTACACTGACCTATTTTTCTACATAAAAAGAATATCTACCATTAAAGCAACATAGTAAAATACTAAAAAATGACCTATCTTGACAAGAAACTATTCCTTTACCTTTGGCCAGTATGAGGCTGCCAGCATGTATCCACCTTGTAAGATATAAGCAGACTCTGGTGTCCCATTGTTCATCTGAAAACTGTCCTGAGTCTCGTCCTGGGTAGTGCTCAGTGACGCGACGCTTTCTTCATCGTAGGCTTTCATGTGAGGGGTACCTTCTGCTAAGAACAATTACAACGACTTTAAAAAGACTGATAAAACCACTCTATATATACTTTTACAAATCTTATGCAAGTATTCAGAAATATCTGAAAAAGTTAGAAGTAAAACCAAATGGTCAAAGGGAAAAAACTCACCGAGAACACAATAAAGCACCCATTATTTTTAAAATGACTCCTGATTGGCAGACTTCATCTGGACTAGGAAGACTACAAATACATGATGGGGATACTATAATTTTCTAAATGAGGTGACTCTGGTGACTCTTATGGCAATCTTATGGTTCCTTATGGCAACCTTGAAAGTTATGCCTATGGAGTTGTTATAAGAGATTCTGGTTCCTGTGGGTATGAGGCTCTTCATGCCAGAGTGGGTCCTACACATGCTTGACATTGACTCATTTTCCTGTGCCTGAACTGTTGGACCACTGCAAGAACATCTGCAGAAGGGGACCACCTAACACTACTGTGCTGATAAACATTTGTCATTGCTGACAAATGGCCTATCTATGATAGTCTTGTTGGGCTGTTTAATCTAAGACTCTTGGTGACTGCTATATGTTATTATCTTTTATTTGTTTACTAATAGACCTGTTCCTATAAAAAATATAATATTAATCTTAAGGCAATCACAAAGAAATAAAGCTATTGTGTAAAATTTCTAGTTCAACTGCCTGATTAATCTATTTTGTAATACTCTGAGTATTGTATGTACCAGTAATTCTAGTTTCCCTCCTTAGTACTATCCTAAGAAAATCTGTACACACAGAACTTAAGCTAACAATTTTAAATATGCTTAAGTTATCTGAATTAAGTTCTTTTCATTTTTACTTGAAAAGCTGTCTTAAAAAGCAAAATTACTTTATGCATATACCTCGCTTTTGGACTTCTTCTTCTTCACTGTCACTTTCTTCTGATGAAGATGAAGAGGATGATGAGGAGGAGGAAGAGGAGGAGGAGGATGAAGAAGATGCTGAAGAACAAGATGAGGATGAAGAAGAACTAGAGCCTGATCGGGAGTGGGAACAAGAAGAGGAGGACGACGAGGAAGAAGATGATCTGGAAGAACAGGATGATCTCTCAGAATCTGAGTCAGAATCAGAACTAGATTCTGATCCTCTTTTGTGGACTCTCTGTTTCTTTGACGCTGGGTTTGGAGTTAGGGGTTCTGTTCTGGCTGCAACCATGCGTCTGTCTGTTTCACCTTTTCCACCAGATTTCTGGTCTCCAGTAGCCTGTGGTAAAACACCATTCTTTGGACTTACAGGCTCAGACTTTATTAGTGTCCTGGTTTCCACAGAAGACATAGATTCTTCTTCAGAAGACTGAGGCTCCTCTTTAAGGTTTTCACTTTTAACTTTTATATCCTCTAGAATAATACCTTTAGCATCTAGGAGCCTAGGTAGAGAGGTAAGAGGAGAAGCAGAAAGTGCTACTTGATATTGCTGTAAAAGTGGGGTAGAAGTCTTTGAATGAGCCATCTTACTTTGACTGTAGTTCCTCTGAGCTGCCATAAAAGAGAGTTCAGGATCACGAAGAATGTGATAATCTGTTCGGCTCACCCCGTGTTTGGCAGCACCAATAAGCAAATCCCTATCATGAGGGCCACATTCCCACCAGACTGGTAAGTCTGGATTTGGATGGCAAAGCTTTAAGCGTTCGAACAACTGTGGATGTCGAAGGGCTTGTTCCCGTACTTTCCTTAGAAGTTCAATGCGATACAAAGTCCTAGAAGCACGTTCTTCTGTGATAGGTTGGATAAAAATATTTGGATCCACCAATTCTACATTGAAACAGGACAAGAATATTAATCTCAAAAATTTTCATTTATAAGTAAATTATAAATAAATGACTACATATTTAAAGTACTACTACTAAATGCACCTCTGTACAATTATTGTATAGTTCCTATCCCTTAGTATAGAATCACTAAACAGTTTTCTTTTAATATTTTTTAAATGAAGAGAAATTTAAGTCTTAAAAACAAATACTAAAAATCACGTAACATAAAACACTGGAATCTTAAGGTAAACTATAAAATTATTTTGGAAGTATATTAATATAACTAGGGATTTTCTTTTAGAAATTCCCTATGAGCTATGCCTTTACTAATACCTGTCCTTAACTGAAGAGAAAAACACTTGCTCAAACTCACTTATAAACTAGAACTGTTAAATGAAACCTCATAAACAAACGTAAGCTGACATATCTCAAAATGCATGAGGTAACAGTCCATTGCAATGAACTCACAGAGGCATCAAGGGCTTTCTTAAATTTCAAGGGAAATAGGTATGTCTATTAAATGCTGCACAAACTACTAGTTTGAAGTAGTTCAGTTACATGATTAGATCATGTTACATTCCTTTAGATGAAATTATATCTTTGTAAGGTGGGTTACTGGCACTTGGGAAGTACTCAAAAAAGACATGGCTTGTTGAAATAATTCAGGCACCAAACCGCAGAGCTCCTAATGGCTAACTAAATATGAAACGATTTGAACAATAAACAACAGTAATATTGGACTGTAACCTGTAGAATAAAATAAATATCCATGAATCTATACTAATATGAATAACTATTCAAGAGAGAGAAGAAACAGTTTTTCCTTACAGTAGAATTCCACAATAAAAGCTGTTATGGACAAGATTTAGTATCTGATATGTACTAAAATCAATAGGTTAAAGTTTGAGAAAAAACAGTGTTTGTGAAGGCTCCTCAAGATATTATATCTGCTAGCACCATGGGAAAAGATAGTAATTTTACAGTGGAGAAATGCATCATATTACCTTAACCAAGTGATTAAAGTCATCATCATCAGTCATAAGACATTACTGATATCATGAACCACATATTACATTATGAGAAGGACACAACATCATTTTTGTGGTACTCTTGTCCAAAATGCATAGCCTAAATCTAGGCACATGGAGACATTATGGCCACTGTGAACTGAGGAAGTCTGGGAATCTCTAAATAAAACCTCACTCACATGTATTTATAAAACATTAATATGAAATTAATTTTAGCATGAGAAAAAGCAAAATAATATTCTGAGATACAATGATTATCGATCCATTTATTTTTATCTTCTATTAATGAGACATAAATAACATCATTTGAGATATGAATAATGTTATTGAACAAATAAAAAAATGGGCAGAAATATCCACGCAATGCATGTGAGCCTGCACTGGGTTACAAGGGATGTCCAGCACACATTTCACTTAAACACTGAGGGTCTGTGTTCTTTCTGCAAATTGGACCGTGTCTCATCATTATAAAAGAACACTTTACCTAGAATTTTTTTCTCGATTTCTGTAACATAGAAATAGGTATTTCTTAGCCACTAAATAGTCTCCAAAGCATTTTTACACTATACAAAACAAGCTGATATTAGAAAACAACTGCTGCCTTCTAGCTTGAGTGATGTACACAGTTTTAAATGCTATAATTATATGCTTCTTTAGGGTGATACAGTTTCCCTTTTGTTTCTAAATACCTATATTAATCTTCCTTTATTTTTAAATAAAACTTGTTAGCATTATGTGTCTAACTGACTGGAGGCATGATGGGAATAAATAAACATGTTTAGACAGTTCTTTACAAAGGACAAACAGAAGCTGAATTATCTTTTTTTCTGAGACAGAGTCTCACTCTGTTGCCCTGGGTAGAGTGCAGTGGTGTCAGCTTAGCTCACAACAACCTCAGACTCCTGGGCTCAAGTGATCCTCCTGCTTCAGCCTCCTGAGTAGCTGGGACTACAGGCATGTGCCACCATGCCTGGCTACTTTTTCTATTTTTAGTAGAGACAGGGTCTCGTTCTTGCTCAGGTTGGTCTCAAACTCCTGAGCTCAAGAAATCCTCCTGCCTCAGCCTCCCAGAGTACCAGGATTATAGGCATTAGCCTATTATGCCTGGCCTGAATTATCTTTTAAAAACAGTGAAAATGACAAGCTTTTTGTCTTCTAATATGCATTTAAAAGTAATGTTAATAATAACACAGTTCTTTTAACAAAGCTTGGCTTTGTGGGTTCCTGGCTTGTAGATCTAAGCAAATTTTTACAGAGGGGATTTCCAGAGTGGCATTGGTTGTGGGACAGGCGACATGACTTGCTGTGTGTTCTCCATTAGATGGAGCTACTGCATGGGGAAGACCAGGATCTATTGGAAGCTTAAAGCTTCTTTCTCTCTTCTAACTGCTTATCCAGTGCCAAAGACAGGGCCTGGAGGAACCCCTCTATCCTGGTGGTGGGTGCCCCTGGATAAAGTGTGTGAGCCAAACAGGGAATTTCCTCAGGACCTGGTTGCTCAGGCCCTCAGGTCTGAATTCTTTGAAATTTCCCTCAAAAGGAAGCTCAATTGTGACATGTTGTTTTCAATAAATCTGATCATCTTCAGCTCTCAGAGGGTCAAAAGCTGCTAAGGAGGGTATATGATCTGTTCTTCCAAATAAGAGAGGTACATTTTGAAGACGGCTGTCTCAGAGGGTGGCCTGATGTGCTGCTAGATATTAGCCTTATCCACAAAGGCCACGTCGATCTTCTCAGTGATGTTGGAAGTACCTGGAATCACTACAGTGGAATGGCTTTTAATCTGATCAATTTGGGTTAAGACAGCATTGATCATGCCAACGTTATCTGGTAACTTGCTTCTCACTCTGTAAGCATTATGGACAGCTATGAGTCTCTCCAGCTCATCAATCAGCACAAACACCAGAGCATCTTTATCATCAATCAAATCATGAATCTTCTGGAACTCCTTAGTTACTAGCTTGCCACTCTCAGAAAACCACTTAGAAAAGAGGCTATGACGGTTTATTTCAATTAATTGGCCATACTTGTACCTGTTTGAAAGTCTAATGGTCAATTTCTGGGCTAATGCTTTACACAGGGATGTTTTTCCAGTTCCTGAATAACTATGTTGTAGCAGCACCACCTGGTTCTAGGTGGTGAAGTTGCTGTCAACATTCTTGTCTGAAACAGCAAGGTTGTCATCACATAACCAAGGAGGTGTGATTTGACCTCCACATCACGCATTAGGCTGTCCCAAAGCCTAATGGAATTCAGCTGCAGACAGAACCCAGTGATCTGCTACAATTATATTTTCTGTCTCTTTCCCCAGATTTTCACTGCTGGGGCCAATTTCATTCAGCTGAAAGATGTGCAATGCAGTAATAGAGTCAATAGGCTCTGAGTCTTTACTTCAATGTCAACAATAGACACAGACTGCATATTTCTGGTCATAAAAGCTTTAAACTCAGTCCATGTGTAATCACCAAACACAATACGATGTCTGTTGAGTAGCTTTCTAACACTCAGCTTTATGTCTTTTTTACAGTATTATCTCTGTGCGGATGAACCTGTTGGCGACTTGGCCATACAGAGTATCACCTATTTCTGGTTACCCACAGCTTCCTCCAGTGAGGGACCCAACCTGAGAGACACTGTCACTGTCCCCACTCTAAATCTCCTCACTCACATTTCTAATAAGGAAGTCCTACCTTTCAATCATTATTTAGTAATTAACCCTTTCCCTTTACTTTTAAAACTAGAATCAAAAGCGATAAATATATTCACATCACTATATTGGTGGTGGGAATTAAGCAAATTAAAAAAAAAAGAAATGAGGGCTTCTTGGCAACCATAAATAACAAAAGATACAATGCTTTGTTTTATTTGTCTTCTTAAACCCATTTATAGCATTCCAATAGATCTGAAGGCAGACAGAAACCTACCCCAAATTACCTGGTATTTAGGTAATCAAGAGATTGGCTACTCTATTCAGCGAACTGACAACAAAACTGTTAGTAAATAAAATAAAACAAGTAAAGAAACCCATGTGGAATTTAAGTCCTTTATAAATCATTTATCTTTTGACTACAATATAGGAATAGGAGGCCACTGGGTTTAACAGTCAGCCATCATATTCAACAAAGAATGGAGCCAACTTATACATAGCATTACCAAGAGGAACTGCTGACAGGATGAGCTGTTTCTCTGGGCTTTGAAGACAATGAAATTCATCCCAGAACAGTTCCTTAGCTGATTTGCAACACCACATGTGATTAGTTGTCTTTTTTGAAGATGGCCCTGGGTGGAGAGCTTTTCTATAGATAATCCTTTTCTTTTTTTGAGACACAGTTTCACTCTGTTGCCCAGGGCTAGAGTGCCGTGGTGTCAGCCTAGCTCACAGCAACCTGAAACTCCTGGGCTCAAGCAATCCTTCTGCCTCAGCCTCCCGAGTAGCTGGGACTACAGGCATGCGCCACCACACCTGGCTATATTTTTTCTATATATTTTTAGTTGTCTGGATAATTTCTTTCTATTTTTAGTAGAGATGGGGTCTTGCTCTTGCTCAGGCTGGTCTCAAAACTCCTGACCTTGAGCGATCCTTCCGCCTCAGCCTCCCAGAATGCTAGGATTACAGGCGTGAGTCACCATGCCTGGTCTAGATAATTCTTTAAAATGTCTTATGAGTGGGGGCTTCATCCCCTGCAAAATTATTCAGGTAAATAAACCCTCTAGCACAATTCTCATGAGATGGACTAAAAAATAAGTCAGTTCTATTTACCAAAACCAATCCTTTAATTTCCACATTCTCCTAATCATAAATCTACACTAAACATTAGCTATTTTCTTAAAACTCAGTGTGTACCTTTATTCTCTTTAGGTCTCATTTTAACAGCAGAATTAAAGAATAGGGGGTCTTTCAGCATAGTTTGTTTATAATTCTAAAAAACTGCTGGAAAGTTGAATTAGATCATATTGAAATTTCACATAAAAGAGATAAAATGGAAATTTCTGAATTTTAGTAATTTTGCTTCTTTGACTGAAACAAGGAAAAAAAGAATTTCTTACATACCTTCTTTGGAAGGAAGACGACAAACCCTCCGACACATGGACATGAATGCACACAAATATTTCTCCAAACTATCATCAGTTTTCTTATGTAGCCTAGCCATAGCTCTAAATTTTGTCCAATCAAACTGGCCTCTGTCAGGGTCAAAAACTACTCCAAATGTAGATACAACCCTGTAAAAGTCAGCTTCTTCTCTCCTTGTCCATCTATTTTGAATCAGATGAAAGAAAAAACCACATTAGTCACTAAAATGAATATTTATTAATACTGAATATAATGACTAGGATACAAACTCAAAACATTTCAAGTACCTAAAACTTTAAAGGACTAAATACAAGGTTATTGCTTTGTAAATACATTTTGAATGCTAGTTGATTCATCTATCCAACCATACTTCTGTTAGTATATACTGTTCCTTCAGACAATGATAGTTTTTTGCGTTTTTACTATGTGAGAAAATATGCACAGCAAACATATAAGATTATATAGGATGATCCTGCCTTTCAGGAAAAAAGATAAAATGTTTTCAAACACATTTATAGTATCACATAGTATTTTACTGCTATATGAGAATTATAGAAACCAAAAATTTTAGGACAGCACAGAAGATGGAAGGATTAGTTCAGACTTGAGCAATCAAGAAAGGCATCACAGAGTAAGTGGCATTTCAGATGGGAAAGGCTAAGGGTAGAGAGGTAATGCTAGCAAGAGAGCACAGAATAAGTGAAGAGAAGTACTCTGCATTTTGGGAGGGATGATGAATATTCCAGATTGACAAGAATATGGCTCATATTGGAGACAAAGCAAGACAAGGTTTGGGTCAGATTATGAAACGTTCTAATTGCTAATCATTCAGTAATCTCTCTTCAGGTGAAAGCTCCTGAGACTCTAAGAGGGACGGGTGCTGGGCTCTGAAGAATGGGCTAGGCGTGAACTAACAGGTAGGAAGAAGGGTATTCTAGGTGATGGGAACAACATAAGCTATGGTATTGAGTTAAGAATAACATTCTGGCTGAGGGAATAGTAGTAAAGTTAGAAATGCATGCTAAAATCTAAACTGAAGAACTTAGGTACCTAAGACTTTATACCTATACTAAATAAGAAGTCATCATTGAATACCATGATAAAACTAGTATTTTAGGAAGAATAATCCAGATCTGACAGACTGAGGGAAAATGTGTGTAGTACATTAAAGATGGCCACAAATTCTTTCTACTCTTCCCCTTAAGAGATGGAATCTACTTCCCTTTCCCTTAAGTCTGGGCTGGCCCCGTGCCTTTTTCTGACCAACAGTCAGGCAGAAGTGACACTTTGTAACTGCTGGAACTGAGCCTTAAGAAATCTACAGCTTCTGCCTTTGCTACTTGGAATGATCCCTCTTGGAATCTGAGTTCCTAGCTGGCAGTTAGCACTAACTGCAAGCCATGTGAGTGAGGCTACTTTGAGTCTTCCAGCTATCTCAGAAATCCAGCCAACCGCATACAAATCAGAAGAACCACCTTGTCAACTCACAGAATCAAGAGAAATAAAACAATACTGTTTTAAGTCACTGTGTTTTGGGGTGGTTTGTTACATAACAATAGACAACTGAAACAGTATATATACAGAGGTAGTATTTGAAAAGTATGGCTAAGATAGCTAAAATCTTAAGTTTCAGATTAAATTCTGGCTACAATCAATGTGCAGCAAATGAACAATGATTTATCTTTCAGAGAAATTCAAGGACTCAGGTTTAACAAAGAGGCCAGCTTACTGCTAATCATGCTAGTCTTTCCCATATACTCTATCCTTTTTAAGAAGTTAAAGCTTATAAAATAAGAGAAGTTTGCCTGTCTTCTTAACAAGTCTCTTGCAATTTGTTCCCTTTCACATCAGTAGTTCCAGGGTTCATCTTCTGTATAAAGAAGAGTTGGACTTGCCTTCCACACATTCTTATATTTCATAAATGTCTTAATGTAAAATATAATAGAATGGATTTTATTTCATATAATTTAAACTTCTGTTCTACTGATAATTCTTGAGTTTGCTCTGCACCTTCCTTTTTTAATATTTTGGCTTTCTTAAACATGACAAAGAATGATTAAAGTATGGCTAATAACTATAAGATGCAATAATCTTTGTAAGTTTTACCATATTTATGCATGCATAAGTGTGTAAATATATGTGCATGTGTGCACAAAGCACACATACAAGTTGGTACTTCTCTATGTTTATGTTTTGCACAAAGTATCATAATCACACCCTGACAGCCTTTAATGAACGAATACATTTAGATACTATTAATACGCATTAAAAATATATCTAAATATCTATTGTCTTACCTCTGCTGTCTTTCTATCTTGGCTGCCATTTTAGGATTTAGAGTGGCTTCTTCATAAAGAGGCTGCATTACACTGGCAGGCACTGAGAAAGTTGGTTGTATCTGCTGAGTTTGTCTGTTTTTATTAGTACGCTGATATGCAGTGATGAGACGCCTCAAACGTGTGGTTAAAGCTGATTGAGTAGGCCAATAAATTTTATCACCTTCCATCAGCTGACCATCTATATTTAAAGAAATTCATGTTAATAACTTTAAAAACTAAAGAGATTCTGTATGAAGCTCACAAAAGTAGATAAATTTCTCTAATTTAAAACTTTTTTCTTTGATATGATTATGTGGGATAAAAACCAAATTTGTCATCATAAAAAAAGTTTTCTTTTAATTACAGCTCTAGAAAACATAACAAACTTTAAAGGCAGTTCAAAGTAAGCAGGACGCAGTGGAATAAAGAGCCACAATGTTACCTATTTAAAGGGAATTTCACTTGCACAGAAAATACAACTCTTAGATTTCCAGGTCTGATATATCACACTGGCTGGCAAAAACTCAATACTTGAACTTAAATAAATTAAAAACCAAACTGAATGAATAAGAAGTTAAACACTGTAAACTCTTCTAATTGATGCCTTCTGTATTAAATTTATCTCCACTTAATTAGAATCAAAACATATCTGAAGTCATTTGGAACATATATTTTAAAAATTGATTTCATAGATCATTACAATGTGAATTTACAGTACTTTAGTAGTAAAGAAGTAAATGCAATTTACCTCCATCTGCTATAACAAGGTCTCCTGGTGAGGAAGCATCATCCTTTCAAAAGAAAATAGAAATTTGTCACAGGGTAAGTGGGTGAAGAAGGAAAAGAGAACCAAACTTCTTAATAATAGAGAAGTTTTTTGCAATAGAATTTTAAATAATTTAGCAAAAATAAAACTTAATTGATTATTCTCCACTCTCACCCTTTTACAGTTCTCTATCAAGTTTGAAACTTAGTCCAGTCATTATTTACTAAAATTATTTCCTTTTCTATGATACTTGTAAGCCAGTTTCTTTTCCTCCACCCTTCCTCTAACTGTGAGTATAGTCTGCTCTAGGTTTTATTGTTAACCAAGTGTGCTTTTTTCTCTTTCTTATATCAACTCTCAGATAATTTATTCTCATGTTTGGCTATTAGACAACCTACAAATCTTTTCTTTTTCAGCCTTAAACAGTTTGCTTGTCCTGTAGAATCAGTTTTGACCTGTCGACAAAATATCTTCAATTAGGAATTGCAACATTATTTTATATTCATAAGTTTGGCAATTTTATTTCAATGGCTACTAGTTTCTATTGTTGTTTTTAAAAAGCCTGAAGTTAGAATTATCCTAATTCCTTTGTTGGTAGGTCTTTTTCTCTGGTTGCTTGTATTATCATCTCTTTTTTGGTGTATCTCCAATTCACCAGGATGTTTCTTGGAGTGGATTTAGTTTTATTTTATCCTGCCAAGGTTTATTTTATTTTTTTGAATCTGAGGCTTCATGATTTTCATAATGTCTGAAAAATTCACAGCGAATCTCTCTTCAAAATGCATCTCCCTTATTCTACGTAGTCTCTTCTTCTGGAACACCTATTAGATATATGCCAGACATTCTCATGCTATCCTCCTTGTTTCTAAATTATATATATATTCCATTGTATAGGTTATTGATTTATTGCCTCCCTGCTCGAAATTTATTACCTCTCAAACCTTTTGCCTGCTCTAAGGAAAAAGATCTGAGCTCTTTATATAATTTTTCCTCTGACAGTCAGTGTGATATTAAGCTTTGTCAGTAGAGGACACTGGAGAAACACTGCAGGAAGAAGGGATTTAATTCCTGGTTCTGGAGAGCTCCTCCCGCTGCTCAGCTCCCCCCCACAGGCCGCTTTTCCAGTGCCCAGGCTCCTGCCATTTGAGCAGCTTCTTTAACACTCACTGGCCAGGAGCTTTTCCCAGCAACCTCCCCCTTGGGCAGTTTTGCAATGGAGTGCTTCCAGTAAGACACTCGCAGGAAAAGCTTCCTTGGCAAACTTAGAGGGCAGATTTCCAGCATGTTCCAGGGTATATGTTCAGTGAGTTGCACCAGTGTGGCAGCACAGCAACTCTTGGCTATGTCCTCCCAGTAAAGTCTGGATTTTGGCCGTGGAAGGAATGGGGCTCTTCCTTGGGTGCTCTACCTGGGCCCTAAGAGTGGTGGATGCTCCTTTTATATGCTTCTCCTATATTTGTTAGCATTCTCTTTACTTTTTACTAGCCAATAGCTCATTACTCCAATCCCCTTATTATAATTAATAATTCCTTACATTGGGATTTCTCTCTCCTGATTGGCCCAAACTGATCTATCATGCTATACTATGGATAACTTCCTTATGTGTTTTCCAAATCATTTCTTCTCTCATGAACTGTGTTTAATCTGCTTCTCCAGCAAAATGTTTCAGCTATTTATTTGAGGTGGTTTTTTTTGAGACAGAGTCTCACTCTGTTGCCCAGGCTAGAGTGCCGACGCATCAGCCTAGCTCACAGCAACCTCAAACTCCTGGGGTCAAGCAATCCTTTTGCCTTGAGTCTCACGAGTAGCTGAGAACTATAGCTGTGCCACCCCATGCCGGCAAATTTTTTCCTTTTTTTATATATTTAGTTGGCCAATTATTTCTTTTCTATTTTTAGTCGAGACAGGGTTGTGCTCTGCTCAGGCTGGTTTCGAACTCCTGACCATGAGCGTTCCTCCCGCCTCGGCCTCAGAGTGCTAGGATTACAGCTGTGAGCCACTGCACCCGGCCTTATTTGAGTTTTAAATGTCAATAAATAAATGTATCTTCCATTTTTAAAGTTACACATAATTCTTTTTCACATCTTCCTAGTCTTTTAAAATCATTATCTTGTCCCTTGTTCCTGGTTCTTTCTTTAATGTATTTAATCATTTAAAAATTACTTCTTGTTAGCCGGGCGCAGTGGCTCACGCCTGTATCCTGCTCTTGGGAGGCGAGGCGGCGGATTGCTCAAGGTCAGGTTCACAAACCAACCTGAGCAAGAGCGAGAACCCCGTTCTCTATATAAATAGAAAGGAATTAATTGGCCAACTGATTATATATATAAAAATTAACGGGCATGGTGGCACATGCCTGTAGTCACGTACTCGGGAGCTGAGGCAGTAGGATCGCTGAGCCCAGGAGATGAGGTTGCTGTGAGCCAGGCTGACGCCACGGCACTCACTTAGCCTGGGCCAACAGCGAGACTCTGTCTCAAAAAAAAAAATAAAATAAAAATTACTTCTTTTTGCCGAACCGGTGGCTCACGCCTGTAATCCTAACACTCTGGGAGGCTGAGGCGGGTGGACTGCTTTGAGGTCAGGAGTTCGAAACCAGCCTGAGCAACGAGCGAGACCCGTCTCTACTATAAATAAGAAGAAATTAATTGGTCAACTAATCTATTATATAAACAAATTAGCCGGGCATGGTGGGCATGCCTGTAGTCCCAGCTACTCGGGAGGCTGAGGCACAGGATTGCTTGAGCCAGAGTTTGAGGTTGCTGTGAGCTAGGCTGACGCCACGGCACTCACTCTAGCCTGGGCAACAAGCGAGACTCTGTCTCAAAAAAAAAATAAATAAATAAATAAATTACTTCTTTTTTATTTCAATAGATATATTATCAGAAGTTCTCAGGGGTCTAATCTTGTTCTTTATTGTATGCTAACATTCACTCATGGTAAACTGTTCTGCATACATTTTTAAATTTTGGATTTTGACTTCATTCTTTCTAAAGATGTAGGGTTTCATTTTTAGGACTCATGCATAGTTTGAACATGAATTTTTTCTTCTGGAGTTCTTTTTCCCTTTTTGTTTTTACCAGGTACCTCAGGGTATTTACCAGCCAAGGACTGACTCCTTTTTAAATTACAATGAGAGCTCCTGGACCATGCAGATGAAATATAAGAATCAAACCATGAACTCAAGAGAAGGCAGGCCTACGGTTATAAATTCTCAGGGAAGACAATATTTTTCCTACTCCAAGCCCATGATACAATAAATTTCCTTGTTATTTCCCTGTGCTGTTTGTCAGAAAGTACTGGCCTTTGAGAGTCCCAACCCTATACAGGATTTCAGTTCTCACTGCCTATATACTGGAGTAAGCCCTGCCTCTTGTCCTCATACAGACATCAATATTCAAGCTCCTCAGCTAGCAAGACCAGCAAACCCTACCTGACAGCTATACCATCATCTGGTCTCTTACTGTGCTCTTGTAAATATTATAGAAATTTCTCATCTCATAAATATCCTTTTCCCCACTCTACAGATTATTTTCTGTATTTTCATCCAACTCTTCTTCCTTTGACATTCTATAAACAGAGCACTTAGAACTATGCTTTGGCAGCTCAGAATTCTTCTAGACTCTACCCTCTATTTCAAACCTCTTCACATAGGCATAGGTTCTGTCTCTTGCTGTGTATCTTTAGCATCTAGTTCTCACTCTACTTTGGGAGTTTGCCCCAGGACACTGTGTTTCTTAGCTCTAAGAAGTGTAGCATGTGGGCAAGCTCCACTCCATCCACATGTCCAAGTCAGCCTCCATCTTATCTAGAGATCAGGAGAATTTCTGTATGATTATTTGTGATGTTTGTTAACCTACTGATCACTTACCTAGCTAATCTGACGAACATAATAATTATATGTAATAAAAAGGAAAAACATGCAAAAAACAAACAAAAGAAACCTAAGAATACCTAAAATTGAGGATTTAAAAATATGATCCAAAGCATACCTCTATATCATCTTTAAAGATGGCTGGGGCAGGTTTGTATTCTGGATCTTCCACATCCCTAATAAAATACCAACAAAAGCTATCGTTATTGTAATAGACTTAAAACTTCTCTTAATGGGACAAACAAATGGAGTCTTGTTAGAGGAATTTTTTAGTTTGTTTTAAAGGTCAGACTGAAGTCTCTGTTTTCTAGTCAAAGAAGCCCAAGCCACAGCATGAAGACTGTTATATAACAAGAAGAAAGCTAGTTCTAATGTATACTTACTCCCAAGTTTACTTTTAAATGTGTTATTATTAACCTCAACATGTGTCTTACTTTTCTTTTTTGGTAAGAAAAGAAAGATTACATAAGGCCTTAAATCAGGTGCAGATGGTCTCCCATATCAGTGGGTTTCACATCCATGAATTCAACCAACTGCAGATCAAAAATATTAGAAAAAAATGTGTCTGTACTGAGTATGTACAGATTTTCCTTGTCATTATTCCCTAAAAAATTTACATAACAACTACTTAAATGGTATTTACATTGTATTTGGTATTATAAGTAATCTAAAGATGATGTAAAGTACACAGGAGGATATGCACAGGTTATATGCAAATACGATGCCATTTTACATAAGAGACTGGAGCATCTTCAAATTTTGGTATCCGCAGGAGGTTCTGGAACCAATTCCCCACAGCTACCAAGGGATGAATATATAATGAAGAACATCACATTTCTCAACTGTAATATCTTTTCCTTTCTTTTTCCTTCGATGCCCCTAGAATTTTACAGATTCAATAGCCATGATATACTTGCTGAATGAAAAAATTAAGAGCTCGTAGAAAGAACACATGTGGGGCAGGTCCAGTCTCTTCCTTGCTCATACTCTGATGGATAAGCAGTAATTTATTAGAGTATCAGTAGCTCTTTCAGATTGTAAACTCCAATACTCTTACTGCTACATCATTTAAAGATGAATACCACTGACATAGAATATGCTGATGTTGAATAGAAGAGGGAGAAAGATGGAGAATTCATGCCTCCGAAATGTGCATACCCATCCATAAAATCATTTGCTCTCTGTTCCGCAGCAACTGCTTTGTCATCAGGTTTCCCCACTCTTTCCAAGAAGCATAATGCGGGGTCTGCTCGAATGGTGTTATACTTTTCATAACCTGGAAGCATCACCAATTACAAAAGTAAAAAGGATAAAAAGAAGAAAGGTATATAAACAAACATTCCTTATATTTACAGTGCATGATATTCCTGGACTAAAGGGACCACATATTAAAATGATACAGGTTACATATGTTTTTTTAGAAATTATCACAAATATTACATTATCTGGTAATATGTATCTATAAAAATTTAAATTTATTAGTTAATATGAAAAATAGGATAACCTGATCATATACACACACAAACATATTTCACATAAGAACTCTTCCTGGGAGAGGAAGTTGTGTGAGACTTACATAACTTCAGGAGATGAAGTTACATGTGCTATTCTCTCATGAGGAAATGTAGTGACTGATGGACATAATTTGGTAGTGTATGCTTTTAAAGCTGTACACATAACACAGCTGTTAATGGATACAGTTGTACATGGAAATCAACAGACTGAGAAGTAGCTGAATTGCATTATACATAGAAGGGGATCTCACCTACCTCACTTCTTACTTACCATGTTTAAAAACTCCAATAAGGAGTGACTTATCAGCATCAAAGTCCCACCACTCAGCAGGAACTTCTGAGTGGTCTGGTTCTGGCACCCAAACATCAATGTCACTTAAAAGAAGATGAGACAGCATTAAGAATTATTACAAATGAGTTAAAAAGGAAGCAAAATTTTACCTAGTTTTTAAAGCATTGTAGCTTTTAGGAAAAAGAGGTTAGGATTTTATTTCATTAATTAAAAAAATTTCCATAATTATCAGCAATTAAAATTATAAAAATGCACAATTACAACAAAGATATCATAGAATGAACAGAAGTTAAGCTGACCAGAAGAAACAGTTTCAACAAAGTTTACTATATAATTCTCTTGAAGACTCTTATTCTTTCCACTGATTTCCTTTACTTATAGACAAAGGGTTCTATTGGAAAGCAGAGACTTATGTTGGCCAACAACTTGGCAAAAATCATCTGGTTCAGATATTTCATTATGCATGTGATGACACTGAGGCCCTAAAAGGGCAAATGAAAAGCTTTAGGCTGCAAAACAAGTAATGCCTCCTCTAGACTACTACTGCTAAGAAAATCACACTGAAAATGGCAAAGTTTGATTCATAATCTGATTAAGAGACTCAAGTGCTATTATTATACTGTAAATAAATAATACTGTGCCATAAAATAACAACATAATGGAGTACTAAAAACTAAAATAATAAATTCATAATGCTTTGATAATTTGGCTGTTTTTATGAGTAAGAAATAACTATAGCACTAGCAATTTTGCAAACATAATATTCTTTTTCTTTGCTCATTATTTGAAATTATTTTCCCAGAAACCTTTTGCAAGTAATATCTCTAAAGAGATAAAGATGTCATGTATAGAAGGACTGAGATATTCACTTTTTTACCATAGTGATTTAAGCCATTGTCTCCTTTAGCCTAGCATATAATGTCTGATGATAATTAGCAAGTATCATTCATTTATATATATATTTACATTTTCTCACATTTAACAATGAAGAGGCAGAGACTGGATAGGGTAAATTACTGCAGAAAATCAAATACTGCAGTTGAGAATTTACCTAATTTTCAAAGAATCATATATAATAAAAAAATTATACAAAATAATACTATGTAGAATCTCATCTCTTTGTCTTGGTACCATAATTTCACAAGTTAACTAACAAACACCTATAGATTCGAAGAAACTGAGAATTTCCTATTATAATTAATTTATGTGGCAAAAGTTTATTTATAATTTGGCTCTTTTTGGAAACTCAAGACAAATTTTCATATAAAAATCAACTGATAAATGATCAACATGTTTCTAGACTAGGACAATAACCCAATATTTAACCACTAATATGGTTGAGATAGAACACACTGGAAATAAAAAAATTATTATTAGATTTATAAGTAAATAAAAAAATGAATAAGAATTCACTTTTTATTTTTCACAAATGTTTTGCTAGAAGAAAAAATTTTTAACCCAAGGAATCTGAGAATGTGGATAAAGAGATCTTTCTTTAGATTCCAAAAGTAATTTGTAAGCACTTTAAAAGAACACCTTATTTTATCTAATTTTGCTTTAAAACAAAAGCATCACAATTGACATATCTTTAGCTTAGTGCAGAAAAACAGAGAAAAAGGAAGAACGCTTTTTGTGATACGGCAAAGCTGGAAAACAGAGATGATGAGAAATGAAGTTAAAGGAAATGTTTTTGAATGAATTCCTAACTAGAACTAAACAAACCATTAGCACTGAAAAAGAAAAAGAAGAAGGAACACTGAATCCCAGAGTGGAGAAAAAAAGTGGGTCAGATAATTCCCTGTGCCAACCAGCAGGTGGCACTCAAAGTTCAAAACATTGTGATTATCATCTGAGGCAGTTTTCCTGCTTGTAAAGAGGAAAAGGCAATCAGTACATAATTCATGGTTCAAATGTAAGTGCCACATGCACATTAGGTGTTTGTGAACTGCTAGGGAAAAGGATATAATAAGTTGGATGTGTACCTGTTGTTGATTTCTATTTTTAAAGACTTAGTTCATTTGCCATCTCCTGCATAAAGCTTCCTTTGACTTCCCCAGACTAGAACATTCATTCAAAAGATACTTAAACAGCACTAGCTATGTGCTAATAATGGCAATAGTCAATTAAGATAGATATGCCTCTGTGCTTATAAAGAGGTACCTGCAGTAACATGTGATGGGTGCTGTGACAGTGTACTCTGTATGTACCTAGACTTGAGAGGTCAGTAAAAGAGGTCAATAAAGTCTGAGTCAATGCTAGTTGAGCAAGAGTGGGGAGAGGCTGGAGGGAAAGGGGAAAGAAAATATTCCAGCAAGAATTCAAAGAACTGGAGGCAAGACTAATTAATCACAGCACTTGAGAAATATGAATCTTAAGTTCATGCAAGAGGGATGGAAATAGGGATTTGGAAAACATCAACATACAGACAGAAATTGAAGCCACAGAGATGAGAACATGCAAGACTAAGTGACAAGAAGAAAGGGCCATGTGAATATTCTTTAACATTTAAGAGAGAGATGAAAAAGGAGCCTGAAAAGCAGCAAGCAGAAAGCCAAAAAGAAAAACCATAGGAGAATGGTATTGCAGAAGCATCTTACAAGAAGGAATTGGTCAACAAAGGTAAAGCGAGGTAAACCTTACAGTACAGCCATCATATATAGAGTGGGTGGTGAAGTGAGGACACAGAAGCTGCACTGTAGTGCAATAAACACCATGGGAGGGAAGAGAAAGGCGGTGGCAAACATAGATACTTCCTAAGTGTGGTTGTGAAATCAAGGAGAGTAATAATATGGTAGTTTGAGGCAATATTGGGTCCACAAGTGTTAAGTGTCTGTGTGTGAGTGTGTATGTTAAGACGAGGAAGATGCAAACATGTTAAAATCCAAACGAGAAGCCAGAAGGGAGAGCTTAAGGAAAGAGGAAAGGAAGGGATAATCCACCAAAGGCAGTCCCTGGGAAATCATAAGCAGGTGAGATCCAGACAGGCCAAGGGAAAGGAGCCAATTAGTCAACAATTATTTACTGAGTGCTTAATATGTCCTCTATTCTAGGTGCTGAGAATACAATGGTCAGTAAGGCAGGTGGCATACTTAACTTCAAGCAGCTTAACTTGTGGTGGAAGGAGAAAGATGATATAAAAATAATTTTTAAATAGTAATCAGCATTATGAATGAGATAAAATAAAGCTAAGTAGTAGTGAGTGACTGGTGGGCTACTTAAGATGGGGTGGGCAGGGAAGGCCTATCTGAGAAGGAAATCCTTGAGTTGGGACCTGAATGACTTGAAGGGGCAGATCTGTGGAAGACCTGAGGAAAGAATATTTGGACCAGGAGGAATAGCATAGAATGAGCTTGACATGTTGGAGAAATAAAAATACCAGTGTGGCAGGGCATGGCAGGTGAGGGACAGAGTGTGAGAAGATGTCACAGACTTACGTAGGGCCTTGTAGGCCATAGGGAATTTGGATTTTATGCCAAGAGAAATGAGAAGCATCTGGAGAGTTTTAAGAAGAGGAATACCATAACCTGATTTTTATTTTAGAAAGATTATGCTGGCTGCTGCATAAGGGACAGGCTGCAGAGAGGCAGAAGCGAAGGCAAATAGACTCAATTAGGAGGCCACTGCAAAAGTCTGATCATGAGATTATGGTGGCTTTGACTAGGGATTTGGCAGAGGAGAATATTAAGGGAGTTTCTTTTCCTTTCTTTGTTAAGTGAATGATATTAAGGCATGTATGTCCGTCTGTCGGTCAGAAGAATGATCCAAGAAAGGAAGGAGATTACTCTAAAAGCCCTTAAAAGGTAAGAAGAGACAAGTTCCAAGGCATAAGATTTCCCTTAGGAGGACAGACATTTCTATTACATCCTGAAGAAAGGACTAGGTGGACATATATGCAAGTAGAACTGAAGGCAGCTTGTCTGATTGTGTCTATTTTTTTCCATGAAATATGTAGCAAGGTCACTATTGGAGGCTGGTGGTGACAGGGTAGAAAGCTGGTGTGAGGAGAGAGGTTTACTAGCCACAGTAGTTGAACAGTCTATGCTTACTCTCATTTAAGATCTATGCTCATAAATTTGAAGCGAGCCCATTCAGCAAAGCTTGATTTTCTGCACAAATGTTCACCTGCTTAGGCATAGGCAAGAAGTGAATGGATATCTGGGTTTAACCTGAGATGGGGTTGTGACAGAAACAGAACGGGAGGAAAGGCAGGCAGAGGGAGTTAAGGATTTTACTTAGTAAGTAGAGTGCTGCACTACAGAATCTGGGTTAATGAAAAAAGGGGGGCATGGAAGTGGTGGTGGCTAGAGAGATGTGGGGACATCATGAGGAGGTTAGAGAATTTTGAGAAGTACTCAAGTGAGTTGGAAGGTAAGAGGTAGGGATCAAAATTCAGACTTGAGAAGCAGGGCTGTTAATGGTGATGGCAAGATCAAGTGTACGACCAGGTGAGTATGTGGCTATGGGGGGGAGAGAAGAAAGATGACTACAGATGAAGGGCAAGGAACTGAGACCAGGGTGTGGAATGGTTCCTATATGGATAGAGAAGTCAGTCAACAAAAACTTCTTCCACTGTAATAAGAAAGAAGAGGAAAGGAATGAGCACAGAAAAGTTAAGTTTTAGACTGTTGGCAGGAAGCTGAAGGCATTTCTGCTTGATGGCTTGCTTACAGGGAGGGATTATCAGTTGCTGAGAATGGGGGGTTGAGTAGTGGGTTTCAGGTGTACAGAGAATGGAGAAGAAAATTGGGAAAGATTATGTTGTAGTATTAAGAGGCAAGATGAGATCAGAAATAGAAAATTCCTAGTGGCACCTCCCTGGTAACCTATACATACACCTAGGCACTTATTACATCACAGTACAGTTTTGTCTGTCTACTTCCTCCTGAGACCACAAACTCCTTAAGAATAAAGGTTGTTTTGTATTTGTATTCCTAGTGCTTCACAGTGCCTGGTGCCTAGTGAGTGATCAAAAAATGTTTCTGTAGAGAGGAATGAATCGGTTATTAAATTTGTGTCTGCTAAGCCGGGCGTGGTGGTTCACACCTATAATCCTAGCACTCTAGGAGTCTGAGGCGGGTGGATCTTTTGAGCTCAGGAGTTCGAGACCAGCCTCAGCAAGAGCGAGAACCCGTCTCTACTAAAAAAATAGAAAGAAATTAGCTGGACAACTAAAAATATATAGAAAAAAATTAGCTGGGCATGGTGGCGCATGCCTGTAGTACCAGCTACTTGGGAGGCTGAGGCAGAAGGATTGCTTGAACCCAGGAGTTTGAGGTTGCTGTGAGTTAGGCTGACGCCATGGCACTCACTCCAGCTCGGCAACAGAGTAAGACTCTGTCTCAAAAAAAAAAAAAATTGTGTCTGCTTTAATGGCATATAGGTTAGATGTCATTCTTAATATTGCTACTACTACTACTGTTGTTGTTGTTATGACTTTCAGTGACAGGCCAAAGATGAAAGTAATATAAGGCAACAAATTGGAAAGAGTTAATTCTCAAGTTTGATGGATTTTCCTTGTTGCAAATTTCACTGAATAAGGAGTCACCTAATAATAATATAATATTCTGGTCATATAATTTGTGCCTCATCATGTTACTGAAAAATAAATGTATTATTTAAGCCTGGTGGAATTGTGTGCACCTGTAGTCCCAGCTATTTCAGAGGCAGAGAAAGGAGGATTGCTTGAGCCCAGGATTTTGAGGCCAGCCTGGGGAACACAGCAAGACCCTGTCTCTAGAGAAAAGAATAATAAATAAATAAATAAATTAATAAATTTAGTTTACCTTGCATCAACTCCATCAAATACTTTCTGACACTCATTTCCAATGACTTCTTGCTTTAGATAATACAGCATTCTTACACGAAGCAAAACCCTAAAAACAAGGGAAAATAAAAAAGGTGCAAAGATATTAATCATTAAAAAAAAATTCATCCATGAGGATAAAATTAGGAAGGAAATTATATACAGATTTTTCATAATGAAATAATAATTACTTGATTAAATGAAACTTACCATTACCATATATAAAAAAGGTTTCTCCAAAATCTTCACAATCATTATGATTTCATATTAAAGTACGATATAATGAGATCCACTTGGAAGCCAGTTTTACTATCTCTAGGTAAAAACAGTGAGCAAAGGGGTACCATGTTTGCTGAAGGATACTTTATAAGATTAACATTAGGATTGGACCTAGACCATACTGTCTCTTTACTCAAAATCAGCATGCTTTAAGACTGTTAATAAATTCAGAAAGACAAATATTTAAAGAGTTGTGTCCAAAATATCCTACTACCTACTTATTACAGTGGTGTTTTATATGTTTTTTGTAGCCTTCATCTTGAAGTAGCTGCTCAGGATTATATTTTCGAAGCCATTCTGCTTTCTGTATATCAAATGAGCTCGTTTGAGTCTTTACTTTCTTCCCTTTCCGACCCCGAGGTACAGGAGCAGACAGACCTGTTAAAATGAGGACATGTGAAGTCAGGAACAATTTGTATAAGGATACGCAATTTGAAAAGATTTTTTTCAATGAAAGAAATCTTTCTTTGCTGGAGACTTGTGAGGTCTGTTCAGGTTATACAGAGATCTTTAAAATATTTTAAGATATTATTAATAACAATACTTACCCAATCACAAGTCAAGATGATGGTATTACACATATTAAAACAATTTCCTGCAAATATCTAATAATTGTGTATCTCAAATTAGAGAAATAGTTCTGATTTCTTTTTTGTTTCAAAACAGATTATATATTTTTTCAAAATGTTAAAACCAAAAGATCAGGCCGGGCACGGTGGCTCACGCCTATAATACTAGCACTCTGGGAGGCCAAGGCAATGGATTGCTCCAGGTCAGGAGCAGCCTGAGCAAGAAACCACCCTGAACAACAGCGAGACTCTGTCTCTACTATAAATACAAAGAAATTAATTGACCAACTAATATATATATAGAAAAAATTAGCCAGGCATGGTGGCGCATGCCTGTAGTCCCAGCTACTCAGGAGGCTGAGGCAGCAGGATTGCTTGAGCCCAGGAATTTGAGGTTGCTGTGAGCTAGGCTGATGCCACGGCACTCACTCTAGTCTGGGCAAGAGAGTGAGACTCTGTCTCAAAAAAAAAAAAAAACACACAAAAAACAAAAACCCAAAAGATCAAACCTATCTCTCTACTTCCTAGAGACCAAAAAAATGGTTTTGGTCTCTTGCTTTTTAAAATTAATTTTACTAGTAATATGAATTAGGTTAGCCATTGGGGGTTCCTGTCCAAGATAGCTGAATTCATTTTATTTTATTTCTCTGAGATTTTTGTTGTGAAATATTTTAAAAATACAAAGAAGTACCGCTACTCTTCATGTTCACATATTCCATATTTGCTCAGTCTTTTATTAGAGGAAATAATAGTTGGAAGTCCCCATGTAGTTCTCTCACATCCAATTTACTTATTCCTTCCCAGAGATCACCACTACCCTAAATTTGTTTTTTCAGTCCATGCATATTTATACTATTGCTACATATGTTGGAAAATACCTAGGATTTAGGTTTTCAGACATTACATTATGCATGTAATCCTGCAATTTATCACTCTCAATATTTTTTTGAGATTTATTCATACTGATTCACAGGCTCTACTTCATCCATCCTTTTTAGTTGCTGTGTAATAATTTATTGTATGGCTACACGCTTCGTATTCATTAATCTTCCTTGATGTTTGAGATGCTTTACTTGTATTTTTTCACAATTACTAACAATGAGGTTTGACTCCTCTTTCCAATTCTTATATCTCATTTATCTTTTATTCGCAATATTATACCAGGTAGGTACTCCATTGCAATGATAAATAGAAGCACTATGTGGATTTGTCCATTTCTTCTTATAATTTTGACAGGGTTTTTTTAATACTTATTATATTTTCTTTTATGGATTGTTTCTTTTGATTATTAGGTATCTCTTTTTTTATACCGATTAATGCATTCTCCCTTAAATTCCTTTGTTCTATGTCAATATTACTATAACAGTTTTACTGGTTTAGCATTTGCATGGTATTGTTTTTGCTAAATCTCTACTTTTAGGATTCTTATTCGGTGTTTAATATGTGTTTGAAGTATAAAAATGCTGATTTTTTCCCCATCTAACAATTCTTATCTTTTAACAGGTGAAGATAAACATAGTTTGCTTACATATATTCCTATTTATTTTTTTTTACCATTTTATTGTTTTCTACCATACCCTTCTTCTTCCAGTATTTTACTGGAATGGTAAATAGTTCTGCATTCCAGTTTTTTCCACCCTTGCTGGCTTGGAAACTAAACAGTGTATACTTTAAAATATACATACGTTTTCCTAATAAAATCTATTTTCTGTATTTCTAATCTTCCTAACAAAATTTTCTCATATTCATCAATTAATCCTCTTTACTCTTTCATTTCTCTTACATGTTCATTTATAATTTATAGGTTTGTTTGTACATTCAATGTTTTTACAGTATCTTACTCTTCTTTAAAAGTCATATTATATGTGAAGTATCTTTGAAGATATTAATGATAGTTCAAAAAGTTCTTTTTCTCTTTTGTAATCCTTGTTTTCTCCAACTTCATTTTAATGGTTTGTTTTTAGTCCCTTTCATGTTCGAGACTTGCCTAGAATGTCTGATAATCCTTGGCTGTGTTTGCTCATATTTAAGTAAAACAGATTAAAAAGGTGATAGGTAGTCTGAGTGAAGCTTAATGACTATGGGCTCACTGAAAGGTAATTGACTGGGGTTCTCCCTGCCCCTCATTATCTTTAGGTTTGGAGCTGGTCAGATTCACCAAAGTCAACTTTTTAGTTTTTTCCTTTATTATCTTATCAGCCAGTATGTATGTATTCATTCATTTAATCCCCATCTAGTAGCTCCACATCTCAACTACCAATGCAACTCAGAGTTCCTCTATTTTGTTCTCCACAGAACAAGAGTTGATGAGGGTATATTGAGGGTATATTAAATAGCTTTGACTTAATGCCCTATCCTTTCACACCCACCTCCAGAGGTTCCTGATGTCACAAATTCCCAAGACTTTGGGAAAGTTTGTAAAGACCAGTTTGGTTTTTGCCTTTTCCCACTGCTGACCTAAGATTCAGCTGTCTCAAGTTAATTAACAGCTATCACTAATATTTGCTTCTAGCTTCCAAAATTTTGTTGCAATTTCCTCTCCCATTCTCCCTGTTTTTCAGAGTTTATGCCTTTTTAAAAATTACGGAACATAAGCACATAAAAAAGTAGATGGAATAGTAAGATGGATCCCCATGTCCCATCATCCACCTTCAGTAATTATCAACTCATGGCTAACTCTGTTTACCCCCTAACCTTTCATATTATTTTGATGTAAACCTAAGATATTAGTCATTTCATTCATAAATATCTGAATTATCTTTTAGTGCTACCTAAAAGATATGGCCTCAGTGGGGAAAAAAAAGGACAATACCATTATTAGCGCTAAGGAATGCAATGATATCTCCTTAATATTCAGTATGCAAAATTTCAGTTATCTAATAAAGATAATAAACAGTTTCCCATGGGTTGTTTGTTTCAATCAGGATCAAAATAAAGCCTGCACCCTGCAACTCTTGGATTCTACCCACTAGATACTGGTAATGTGCCCAAAGTTGTGACAGTTTGCAGTGGAGTGGGATCAGGGTTGGGATTGAGAACCACTGTTTTTTACATACCCTCTCCATTGACTGCCACCCTCATAATTTATTTTGTAGAGTTTATAAGCTTAATGTCTTACTTTTTTCCTCTTTATAAGTGATGTTTTAAGGAACAGTAAATTATATTTGTGTGATTGTTCTATCTTTAACCAGAAGTCAGCTCTTCATACTAAGTTCATTTTCTCCTAGTAAGATAAGCCTACATTGACCATCCTATAAAATAGGTACTTTTTGTTGTTCTCCATCCACCTCAGTAGTTTATTTACGTCACAGTAATTACCACAATCTGTAATTAATTAATCTACATTCTTACTATGTCCTCTTGGCTAGAATGTAAGGTTTATGAGCTCAGGGATCTTACCTATCTTGTTTCTTCTTATTGTTCCAGTACATTGTACAAGAAGCACATAGCAGGCATTCAAAAAAAATTTTTTTTTTTGAGACAGAGTCTCGCTTTGTTGCCCAGGTTAGAGTGCCATGACGTCAGCCTAGCTCACAGCAACCTCAAACTCCTGGGCTCAAGCAATCCTGCTGCCTCAGCCTCCCAAGTAGCTGGGACTACAGGACATGCACCAACATGCCCCGCTAATTTTTTCTATATATTTTTAGTTGGCCAATTAATTTCTTTCTATTTTTTTTAGTAGAGATGGGGTCTTGCTCTTGCTCAGGCTGGTTTTGAACTCCTGATTTTGAGTGATCCACCCGCCTCAGCCTCCCAGAGTGCTAGGATTACAGGCATGAGCCACCACGCCTGGCCTCAAAATACTTTTTGATTAAACAGAACAAAATTGTAACAAATTAAGGGCACAGTCATCTCTTTATACTTTTACAGAAAATTCTATTTTTTATCCTATGAAAGAATTTTTCGGTGGCTTGTGCCTATAATCCTAGCACTTTTAGAGGCTGAGGCCACAGGATCACTTGAGGCCAGGAGTTCAAGACAAGCCTGAGCAACATAGCAAGACCCTGTCTCTACCAAAAAAAAAGAAAAGAAAAAGAAAAGGTGTAGTGGCAAGCACCTATAGTCTCAGCTACTTGTGAGGCTGAGGCAGGAGGATTACTTGACCCTAGGAGTATGAGGCTACAGTGAGCTATGATTACACCACTGTACTCTAGCCTGGACAATATAGTGAGACCCTGTTTCAAAAAAAAAGAAGAATGATTTTACACAGAAAAGAATGTTCCTTTAGCAAAGCTATGGAGAAAATAGTACTTGCATAGGATTGTAAACTGGTATAGCCACTTTGGACAGCAAAGTAAGTATGAAGATGTAAAATATATACCGATGTTTCTTGAACTTTAATATGCATTCTAATTACCAAGAATCTGTTAAAATGCAGATTCCGATTCAGTAAGTCTAAGGCCTAAGATTCTGCATTTCTAAGAAGCTCCCCGGAGATGCTAATGTTGTTGATCCAAAAATCACATCTTAGGTATTAAAGATGTATATAAGCTATACTTTAGTAATTTTATTTTTTTTGTATCTACTTTAGTGAAACATGTATTCATATGCACAAAGAGGAATGTACATGGATCTTCACTGAAATTCAATTAATTGTCTAAAATTGTAAACAACCTAAATGCCCATATTTAAAGCAGATGCTAAATAAAGCATGGAATATCCATACCAAGGAATACTAAGCAGAACTTAAAAAATGACATCGATTTCTAGGAACACAGACAGAAAGGCCTCTAAGGCCAGGTGAGGTGGCTCACGCCTGTAATCCTAGCACTCTGGGAGGCCGAGGCGGGCGGATTGCTCAAGGTCAGGAGTTCGAAACCAGCCTGAGCAACAGTAAGACCCTGTCTCTACTATAAATAGAAAGAAATTAATTGGCCAACTAAAAATATATAGAAAAAAATTAGCCGGGCATGGTGGCACATGCCTGTAGTCCCAGCTATTCGGGAGGCTGAGGCAGGAGGATTGCTTGAGCCCAGGTGTTTGAGGTTGCTGTGAGCTAGGCTGACTCCACAGCACTCTAACCCAGGCAACAAAGTGAGACTCTGTCACGAAGAAAAAAAGAAAGGCCTCTAAGACACACTGTTGGGTCAATGACTTCCCAACTGAAAACCTACCAAACTGATAACATTGGCATTTTCTGAAGCTGGAACTTGAATTGGGGGTGAAGGTTAAAGTTCTTTAATATTATCTGTAATACTTTAGTATTTCATAGAAAAATATGTTAAGTATTACTTATATAATTAAAAATACATTTAAGAACAAAATAATGTTCTTACCTAGATGATTTTGTAGCTCTCGTGTCTGCCCATCTTCAGTTGGAGTAATGAGATCCCATATGAAACCTTTAATTTTCTCATCTCCTCGGTAGTGAATAAGGCAATATGCTAAGAGGGCTCGGCAAATTATTTCTACGTCATGCTCATTTAGCTGCCTTTTAAAACGGCCATGAGATAGAATCTCTCTCCATCGGCCCCACCTGGTAAAAAGTATTGTTTACACTGAGTTAAGCTGTAGAGAAAAGAATATAACTCATGGATAAAAGAGATGAAAAACTACAAAAAAATTTTGTTATTAATAGAATTTGCTAATGAAGTTATTTCCCCCATGTGTAAAATGCAGAGGCATGGCAGAGTAATATCTAGTATATTTTATTCAATAATGGATAGCATACTAACATCCAACTGGTATTACTGAATATGCAAATTTGAGAACAAGGAGTTTGACTTTAGTGATACATTTAGAATTTAAACACTTAAGGCTATCTCAAAATTCTGCTATTAAATATATATATTAAACACAGAAATTCAGGGTAAAGATACATTTTACTGATGCTAGCAAGATAAAAAAAATATGTGAAAACCATATATATTCTCTGCAATTTTATATATCAAACTACTTACAGTAAACATCAGAAATAATATTTACCCATAAACTAGGAGGTTTTTCTCAACTCTAAAGCACTCAGTTCTTCCATAGCCATTGGAACGGTCACAGGGTCTCCGGAGTTTGGGCTTTTCATCTCCTTCACTTTCAGCTTCAGATAACTCAGCCAATTCATCTTTTGTGGCACTAAAGGGTCTTGTTTGCTTCCTAATTCTTGGAGTGTCAATAACCAAGCTGTTCTATAAAATTTAACAGCTATTACTTAAATGTTCTTTTATGATTTTGCTTGTAACAATGTTCTACATTCTCGCCTTTCAAATTGTGCAAACAATTACAGAAAGCCAGAAAAAAAGAAATTACTAACAATTTCACCAACCTACCAAATCAACTTAAGATTTCTTATACTCCTTTAAAATTCTTACTACCAAATATGTATAATTTTATGACATTATAGCCACAGGATAAAAAGAATTTAGTATTTTACATTATTATCTACTAATATAGATGTTATTGTGCTATAATAATCATAAAATATATTTTAAGCTGAATTTATGCTTCATTATTTTCTTTACTTAATTCATAATTTAGTTTAGACTGTTTTCAATTTTTAAAATAAATAATGCTAAAGTAAATCTTTGTGACCTAAGTTTATCCTAAAGATAAATCCAAAAGAAGGGAATACCTAGGAATGGAAATATTGGTGAAAAGTTATAAATATTTTACAATGTTTTCCAAAAGAGTTATATTAACATACAAAAAGCAAGGCAATCAATCTATTAACATATGTTCATTTCAGTTTAATTCATTCAAAACAACTTAAGTTGACACACTTTTTACCTTTACTGAGAAACTTCTCTAAGTTAGGCACTATGTTATGCATGGGTTGTGGATATAAAGGTGAGTAAGACAGTTTCTGCTCATAAGGAATCAATCCATAGTCTTGAGGGTCAGACAAATGTGTAAATAAATGTTATTCAAAATGAAATATTTTTTCTCACTAACGTTGACTCAAAAAAAAAGAAAAAAAAAATGAAATATTTTATGATATAAGATGGGTACAAAGGAAGTCAGAGAAAACTTCACAAAACTTGTGAAGAAAGAATTAGAAAGAATTCTTGAAAATTTAATGGTAGAGGAGAAAGCAGGGACCAGACCATGAGGGTTCTGGTACACCATAACATATACATAGTGCATTGTATTTAAGGGGGCATATGATGTTAACATGTCTTATTACTGGTTTTTCTACTATAAAGTTAGTAGTTTTCCTTTTGTAACTAATAAATATTTTGGAAGATATACTTTGAGAATACATATTCTGTTTCTCCTTAAACTTTCACCCACTAATCTTAGAATTCAGTGATGGATCTTGTCTGTTACAATTATTACCATGGTGGATTGTGACTTTCTATTTCCTTCACTCCTTCTACATTTATTAAATTCTTCTATAAGGAAGAGTTGTCCCTTTTCCCTTTTTTTCCTCTTCCCAGTTTCTTTTAAAAATAGTATTTTTTTCCTGAGTAAAGTTTCAAATGCCTTTTGCCCATAATCTTGAGATTTTGATAAATTTCCAATCAATTTATATTAGCTTTTACAAAATAAAATCATTAACTTTCACACACATATCTGCTAGTGTCAGCAGTTTGACTGCGCTTTCATTTTTCCATTACATAATTCTGTCCTACATAGTTGAACATGCCAATCATTTCCTATGTGATTTCTAATTTAGAATATTTTCCTACCAAATATTTGAAATCTAGTTTCTTCTATTTTTCATGTTTTGATTAAAAAGTATTATAAAACTTTTAATCACAAATTAGAGTTTACATGGTATAGAGCATAGTATTATAATATTCCCTCCAACGCTAACCCAATATCCTAATTACCATTTATTAAGCAATCCTTCTTTCTTTATACTATTTCTATATTAAAATCTTATAATTTGGTGTTTTTTTGTTTTTATTTTTTGAGACAGAGTCTCACTCTGTTGCCCTGAGCAATAGCCTAGCTTATAACAACCTCAAACTCCTGGGCTCAAATGATCCTCCTGTCTCAGCCTTCTGAGTAGCTGGGACTACAGGTGCACACCATGATGGTGGGCTAATTTTTCTCTTTTTAGTAGAGACAGGGTCTGGCTCTTGCTCAGGTTAGTCTCAAACTCCTGAGCTCAAGCAATGCTACCACCTTGGCCACCCAGAGTGTTTGGATTACGATCCACATGCCCAGCCAATTTGGTCTTTCTGTTCTTATCCTATTCTTTATATCTTTCTGTTAGTACTATATTATTTAAATTACTATTGCTCTATAATATATTGACACTATAACATATAGTAATGCTAGTCTTTATTGTAGTTCATTTTTAGAAAATTATTTTTCTACTAAAGTATAAATTAAAAATGTTATTACATACGTATTAAATGACTATATGCTTTTATATAGTATGTTTATTTATAAAATCCTGTTGATTTGACCCATGTCTTTGGTCTCTGACTTCATGTAACACCACACTCACTAACTCAACATTCTGCCACAATGTCTTTCTGATTTTGGAATATACTAAGCTTATTTACATCAAAGGGTCATTGCCATTCCCTCTGCCTCAAAAGCTTTTACTCACATCTTTACGTTGTGTTGGCTCTTTCTCATCAATCAAGTTCTCAGTACAAATGTCCCCTCAGCGTGATCTCCTTTGTTCACTTTACCTAATGCTATTTCTACTTGTCCAGCATTCTCTACCATCTTACTATTTTCTTCACTCTTTAAAATTATCTTATATATTTGTTTACTGCTGTCTTACCAACAAGAATGTAATTACTAATATGTATTATTGAAAAATCATAGAGATCACATTGTAAGTATTATTTTGCATCTCTGTCTTGGAGCTCTATATTTGTACATGGTATATCGTACATAACGATGACCATGATTATTTTTTAAAGTATTGCATTATATAGTATAAATGTACCATTTCTCTCCGATAGGAAATTTAGTTCCTAAATTTTTGCGATAATAAAAAATGCTGTAGTGAGCATCACTGTACTACATTATCATTGTACATGTACGCATACTGCAGTAGAACAGATTCCTAAACATGTATTAAATATTCTCCAAATGAAATTTTAATTTTATTTTGTCTAGTTACATGGAAAAAAATTGCTTAACATTTTGATTTGGGTTGCATCACATCTATAAATTAAAATTTCTATGTTTACAAACTAATACTTAAAACGTTTTAACTATTTCCAACTGATTAATCTCCCGACTAAATTTCACTTTACTGAAATCATATACATCTTTCTTTAGGTATATTCCTAGGTGTTCTATATCCTTTTTTCTACTGTGAAGTAGATCTCCTCTTGCATTGTATTTTTATACTTCTGTTAGTACTGATCTTTAGGAAGGCTAAATGGCAATATATCTTCTATCCAGTTAATTCACTAAGCTCATTTATGAATTTTCATAATGTTTTGGAGAGTCTATTGCTTTTTTGGGTATATGAATATATTATATGCAAATAATTCTGTAGTTATCTTTTCAAATTTATTTGTTGCACACATAATTACATATTTCTAATATACATTAAACAATGATAATTATGATGACAGTAGAGTTATTCCCAATTTTAAAAGGCTATCAAAAGAGATCCTATGTATCAATGCTTAATACAAAATTCCTTTAATCATCTAGCTGTTACTGTGATAATAGGTAAGGTTCGCAAATAGTCATTCCTATACTATTATTAGATAGGTGTCTCAGTAAGTAAACAGGTGTCTTACAAAGTAAAAATGCTATTATCATCAGTTCCATGAATTCTATTTTAGTTTTGGACTCTTTCTTTCTTAGCTCTGAGGGAAGTCATAAAGGAAATAGTTTTAAAAGGCCATTTTCTTGACTGCTTTTATTCTCTTTTATATTTTACTAGATCATCACTGATGGGTTCTGACACCAAAAAGATAAAAATATTATAAAGCAAAATAAACATAACCTACAATTTGAAGACATTAAAAAAAATTTTAAAAACATAACTTTAAGAATGTCAATTATACCCCAAAGTTAAACTTTCTCTATATTACAACCCATCATGACAGATATCAGAAGTATTAAACTGAAGTAGTGTGTGTGTGACTTGGTTCATTTTACTTCAACGTATGTATGTGGAAATTTATTTCAGTAACTGCATAGTTACCTTAAAATATTATAATAATATTGCAAAGTATCCCAAAAGAAAAAACTTTTAGAGGGAAAGAATACTTACTCTGCCACTGATGGCATCTATATCTATTTCTGCCTTTTTAGCCCATTTTTGCCAGAAGTTGGGATCATCTAAAGAAATATCTGTCCGGTTTCCAGATGCCACAAAACTCGCCTGAAATACATAATGGCAGTTTTTCAAAATGTTTTGAAGCTTAGAGGAAAAATCTATCAAAGTATACTTAAAACATTACCTCCTCACATTTACTGTAGATAGAATTTGAATTCTGCATACACATATATTCAAAGGTTGTTTCAAATCCAGTGGTCTGAAACACAGCACAGCAGCTGCTTAAGGCAAAGGCTTAATGCCAACACAGACTGGAGTTTAGGTACAGAGTTAAATAAATTATTAATGTTAGTTAACTCAAACATTTGGTAAGCAAGGATCAAATCTTTTTGGTGAGGAAGCTACAGAAGACAGAGATACGCTTTCTAAAAATACTACATGAACGTTAAGAAATTAGGTTAGAATAAGAATTTCAAAACCTGCCTGCACTAAACAGTTCATTTTCTGGTATATTCCTACTTTATTTTTATCACACTTTCAGACAGATATATCTCCTAAAGAAAATGCAACACAGTATGTGGGAAATAAAGAAAAATGAACCATTTTCTGTCTTTATTTTAAAAATTCTTTGCTTTATAACACAAATACTGCATAATCAAAATTTAAGAAAATACAGAGGAAAATAAAGACGACAATGTGATTATTTTCTTTAAATATTATAGAAATTATATTAAATTTAATCTTTCATTTAGAAGAAATTTTAGATATTACCCTTAAGCATTATTTACAACTTAAGTCACTGAAAAATAGATAAGCCACATCAAAGAAATATCTTCAAAGTGCTTTATAAAAATGAAAGAAGCAGTGAAGATACATAACACATTAAGAAAAGGGCCTGAAAAATACATGTCAATGTTATAAAAATAAATGGAAGAATACGCTCACATAAAAGACTTCCAAAAGAGAATATAACTAGTAAATGGCTTTAAGATAATGCCTAATTACCTGGGATATAATCAAAAGATAAAAATCTTCATTAAAAACCATCTTGATGAAATGTTAAAATGCTGAAAATCCCACATTAAAAAGGTAATAAAACTGTTAAAAGCAAACAAGCTGTTTATGACATTCAAGATAACTGGCAGTTTAAGCACTAGATAATTAATACCAAGGAATTATATTTTAAAAGTCTATCTTTAATGATACATATGGAAATGTATAAATGTGATGATATGATATCTGGAATTTGATTTAAAATAATACAAAAAATAAGTGGTAGGTGATGAAACAAGTTTAGCATGAGCTCATAAATGTTGAAGCTCGGTGATGAGTACACAGTATTTCATTAAAATATTCTGTCTATATCTGTAGTTTAAAACTTTATAAAAAGTCTAAAAATGAGTAGGAACAAAATTAAAATGTTAAATGCCTCCTGCTGAACTTCAGATTCTGTTCATGTCATTGTTTACAAAGTAATAAGTACATTAATTCATTCCATCTAGTATTCTTTTGAGGTCAGCTTTTAAGATGCTTGTATAAAACAAGAGTTGGCAGGGCATGGTGGTTCACGCCTATAATCCCAGCATTTTGGGAGGCCAAGGCGAGAGGACTGCTTGAGGCTGGGAGTTCTAGACCAGCCTGAGCAACAAAGCAAGAATCCCCCACCCCAACACCCATCTGTATAAAAAATTTTTTGAAAAATCTGATGTAGTGGCACAGAGCCTGTTGTCCCAGCTACTTAGGAGGCTGAAGCAGGAGGATGGCTTCAGCACAGGAGTTCAAGGCTGTAGTGAGCTATGATGACGCCACTGCACCCCAGAGCCTGGGTGACAGAGTGAGACCTTGTCTCAAAGACAAAAACAAAATAAAATAAAAAAATCTACAAGTGTTTAAAATGTGTATTTTGATGGCATATTTATGAAATAGGAATGACAGGAATAAATGCTTTAATGAATGAATTTAAATTCTTTTTTTTTTTTGGCTTGTTCTAAACTATAGCTTAAATATTTTGAAACTACTGAAAAACAGTAATTTTTTATTTTTTTGAAATGATGAGTATGGTAGGCTGAATAATGGCCCCCAAAGATATCTGGTCCTAATCCCTGGAACCTTGTGAGTGTTGCCATATATGGCAAAAGGGACTTTGCAGATATGATTAAGAATCTTGAAATAGGGAGATAAGTTTGTATTATCCAAGTGGGCCCTAAATGTAATTACAAGTGTCCTTACAAGAGGGAGGCAGAGGGAGGTCTGACTCTAGAAAAGGAAAAGGATATGACACGACAGAAGCAGAGATTGGAGTACTGTGGCCACAAGCCAAGGAATGCAGGCAGTCTTAGGAACTGGAAGAGATAAGAAACAGATTCTCCCCTGGAGCCTCCAGAATGAACCAGCCCTGCTGACACCTTGCTTTTATCTCTGTAAGACTCATGTTGGACTTCTGATATCTAGAACTATAAGAGAATAAATTTGTGTTGTTTTAGGCCACTAAATTTGTGAGAATTTGTTACAGCGGCAACAGGAAATAATATGAGACACCTCTTTATGATAAACCACATATCATAAAAACTCATATGTCTAACATGAAAGAATAAAGGCTAACTAGTTTGATAAAATGAAACCAACAAAGCCATCATCATTGTATAAAAGTATATGATAACAATTCATCCAACTGGTATGAATGGTATAAGGGACAGACATCTAACTACATTTAATTCCTTAACTATGAGGGGACTTCATTTTGTTAATTCAGAAAAGAATTTCTCATAACTGAGGACATATGATACTTTAAAATCTTCATTAATATAAGCTCATTGATTTTCAGTAACAGTGAAAAGTTCACTTAATCAAGTTCACAGGGTTTTATTCCCTACTACAGTTTCACTGATATATGTCTCTTGAGATTTAACCACTCCAGTAAATGAGTATTTGCTTTACACAAATTGGAGAACATTTACCATGAAAAGCCATCAAATATTAAAAGTCATTAAAAGGAAACAGATTTTAAAGTATGTTACTTTTTGGTTACTTACCTAAAAAAAGAAAATTCTATGGTACAGTGTATAATCAATCATTTTTATTATGCTACCAGACAACTATTCATAGTTTAAATAATTTGCCAGTAAGAAACTAAGCTTCATAATTAAATAACTTTTATTACATTCATTATAAGAAAAATGATAAGTTTATTTTTCAAATAAAAAATTTTTTTAATTTCTAAATAATTCAAGATGCTGTTAATTGACATACAACCTATTTTCAAGATGACTTACATGATTCTCAAGGATTGCAATAATGGATTACGCCTATGGAAACGAAATGCTTGTAGAAGATACCAGCAAGTAGAGGTTTAGTGACTACTTCCAAATGTTAAATCCTAATATCTAGTTCTCCTCCCCTCCAAATTATTTTTCTTAAAATACATTCCTTCAACTATTTAATCCCTGTATTACTTGCAAGGGAAGACTTTTTCATGGTGAAATCCATCTTCCTATGACAGAAAGTAGCAGAAAGATAGTTAACTACCACAGATGGGTCCTTACAAATAAGCAATCCACCTGAGGCATGATTTGGATGGCTTTGTTTTGTTTGTAAATTAAACAATTCAAAGTCTTTTGTTATATACCAAATCTTAAAAAAAAAAATCAGAATAGAAACATTTCTACTTTTAGAACCCAACAGACTGCCTTTATGAAAATATCTCAAAACAAGGCTTATGTGATGTAACCACTTATAAATAAGGTTACCAATAATGAGTTCTATTTGATGAGTATGTACTAAGTCTAAATATTCTCATAAGTACCCTGTTCCATATACGTAACTCCTTATTAAATACTATTTGATAACGCAAAGAAACACAGATTGGAATTACTTTATACAAATCACTGAAGACAACTGAGTATTCCCTGAAGACAACTGCAGTCTTTGGAAATTCCAAGAAAAGGTGTAAAATACTAGCAACTTTACACTTTTGGTGCTACTACGTAGTGGCTCCATATTCCATTATGCCAAAAGTCCACCATCTAGTGGCCTTCCCATACAACTATGGGAATGAACAAATTATAAAACAACTACAGCAACCTCTCTGGATTCTCCTCAGCTATTGCGGTATCTCTCCAGCCCTCTCTCTTTTCAAAAGTAACAGTTATTCCCTCATATGAGGGTTTAAAACAGATATTTAAATGCTTAAGCATTTCTAATTCTCACAGCATAGCTCATTATGACTAGAGCACATTTGAATCCTCTATGTAAAATAATACTGACATAGTACTTTACAGTAAAGTAGGAAAGGCCAAGCATGATTATTATTATGATCTCCTCTTTAAAGACAAGACTCACAGAGGTTAATTGTCCAAGATCATTCAGCTTATGAGTCAAAATTCACTCTGGTGTTCTGACTTTCCATGATTATTATAATTAACATTTTAAATGAGGCAGCCGAGAATCACATGTGGTCACTAAATGCTTTGCACCTTTAAGGAGAATATCTCTCTATTAGCCTAATCAACTAAGACAATAACCATGACTGATACCTTTTGATATTAATTAGATTTCTGACAATTTCAAACATGAGGAAAAAATATCTGTACAAAGAGTACAGAACCAAGGAATCAAAAGTAAATAAGTGGCTGGGCGTGGTGGCTCACGCCTGTAATCCTAGCACTCTGGGAGGCCGAGGCGGGCGGATTGCTCGAGGTCAGGAGTTCGAAACCAGCCTGAGCAAGACCCCGTCTCTACTAAAAATAGAAAGAAATTAATTGACCAACTAAAAAATACATATACAAAAAATTAGCCGGGCATGCCTGTAGTCCCAGCTACTTGGGAGGCTGAGGCAGGAGGATCACTTGAGCCAGGAGTTTGAGGTTGCTGTGAGGTAGGCTGACGCCACGGCACTCACTCTAGCCTGGGCAACAAAGTGAGACTCTGTCTCAAAAAAAAAAAAAAAGTAAATAAGATTTCCCAGAAAAGAAACTAGAGCCAGGGCACATATCTCCCTAGTCATGACTAGTTTTAGTTTTCATCCTTATATTTTACTTCTGCAGTATTCCTTTTGTTTCCAAAATACTACTTTCTTCTGCTTTACTCTCTGCTACTTCCAAATCTACATCTGTGTCCTAGGCAAATCTTCTAGACATCCCCAGTCGGATGCCCTGTAAATGTCACAAATATAACACCTTCAGTATTTTATTTTACCTATAGGACCTCCTTTTCTTGCATTCTCTATCTTAATGCACGATGACCCTCATAGCTACTCAAGCCAGAATCTTCAAGTCACTTTTGATTCTGCCTTCTATAAATTTCTCACTGGTCGTCAAATCCTACTGAATTCAAGTGGGTCTCCACTACCCTTGTTCACCCATCATTATTTCCTACACAGGCCTCTTAAATGATCTCCCTGCCTCCAGTCTTTCCCCTTTCCAAGCTGTTCTCAATACTGCTGCGAGAGTTAAATTTCTCAGTTAGATTGCATTCTGTCCAATTTCTACTTGAAACGCTTTAAAACCTTCTTAACTGCCTCAGGATCAAGTTCAAACTCTTCAAAATGGCACACAAAGTTCTTCACATTTGGGGTCCAATGTCCCTGACTCCTTCAGTTTAGTCTCCATCTAATTCATCCCATGTATCCATACATATATGCCTATACTGTGTTCCTAAAATGTGCCTTGTAGTTTAGCAATGTATGATTTATTTAGGTGGCTTTCTCTTTCTTTCTGTAACATAATGAAATCCAAAATTCTTTTAAGACTCAGCTTAAATATTATTTTCTCTGCAAAGGTTTTCCTTATTCTCTGGCTCTTTCATTTTATACAGAATTCATCATTTCCTCCTTAATAAAACTCAGTATATTTAAACATTTAGAGTAAGAGACAGTTAAATTTTTCAGAAGATGTGAACATGACAGCTATAATTATAAAATAGCATTCACTGTTACCTTAGCAAATGTTGACCCACGTCCTTCTGACTCAATTGTGATAGTTTTTGTACGACGCAATAAAATCTGATCAATGTCCTCTTCACAGAATTTAGAGCCTTCATCTTCTTCCTCCATAATGGCACCATAAGCACCTCTTCGAAGCAAGTCTTCTATTTCCTTTTTGGAAAGCTGTTGAATCTAAAGAAAAAATAATTTAGGTAACAATAGTTTTTTAAAGGTCATAAAATGAGAAAGTATCCTGAAAGAATGTCAAAGAACACAAGAGGTATTCTTTAAATTGTGAATTTAAATTGCTTTTGGGTTTGGGATACACATAAAAGAGAATTCACTGAAATAATATGAAGTTGTTGACTTAAATTAAGAATTACCCATCTCCCTAAAATGGCTTTAGTTAAAACAAAGTGTAAGGCACATGTAACCTATCAAAGCTCTTTGTTAGTACTAGGATTATATTATTCATATAAGCCCAAGATATTAAATAAGAATCTTGAGAAAAAATGCCAAAAATCATCATTTATAATAAGAAAAAGCCAATACTAGTAGTTTGAACTAAAAAAATTTGAAAAGTATTTATATAAATAATGCAGAAATTTCACAAATTCTATTTTGCTATGCCATGATACAAATGTCTTAAAAAGACAGCAAAGAATTTCTATCTTGAAAACACATTCTTAGAATTCAAAAGCTATAAGCTACACAGATAAAACAGGATTCAAAAGTATTAACTAAACATAGCTTTATTCTGAAAATGTTTCCTCACATAAAACAATCTATTTCATGTTCAGTATGACCAAAATTTAATGATATACTACCGGAGGTAAAATTAAATGCAAACAAAGTGAAAAAAGAAAATATACATACACCGCCAACATTACTTTCTCTTCCACTCATGCTCTGTAACACAGCCTTATCTAGGCCCAGTTTCAGACTGGCTCGGTCAAACATCTCTCTCTCATATGAGTTACGAGTTACTAGTCTGTAGACTTTAACTGCTTTGTTCTGACCAATTCTGTGGCAACGAGCTTGGGCCTATAAAAAATGAAAAGTTATAGATTTAATTTTTTTCCAAAAAGGTATTTAATAGTAAACTATGTATGTGGAATATAAACATATGTATGAATTTTTAGACACTCTTAATAATTAAATATAAACTTTTTCTAGAAATTAAGGTACAGTTTACCAGAATGAGAAATAATCCCACAATCAGCAGTAAGTCAAAATTTAAGCTTATATTTCAGAAAATATAAATCCATGAAGAATTATTGTGTTTTAATGGAGGTGTAATCAATATAATTTTAGACAAGAAAATCTATGAACAGATTTTTTAGTTCATGGTAATACAAGCTTTAAAGTCCAACCCTAAATCCTAAGTCTTTTTCTACTACATTATCGACAATCTTTTTAATATCTTTTTCTTAAGCTGGGTAATTCTTAAGGGGGAAAAACCCTAAGGTAAATAACTCTGGAGATCTAAATTTTATTTAAATGGAAGAGAAACTAATTATTTAATATATATGTACACATGTTTGAAGTGGTGACAGCAGAGATATATAATAGCTTCACATTTTATCTTAAGTTCCTACTAAACTTAAAATTTGATGATAAATCTTGACTCCAAAGGTTATAGAATCTAATCTTTCTCCCAAATTATTAATCACCTTCCCATTATCTTTAGGCAGATTAAATCATAAGTTGTGGCTTTAAAATTTATAGGTGGGATTGATGCAACACTCTGTTTGTTATTTTGAGATAGGTTCCTGCTGTGTCACCCAGGCTGGAGTGCAGTAGTGTCATCATAGCTCACTGACGCCTTGACCTCCTGGGTTCAAGTGATTCTCCTGCCTCAGCTCTGCAAGTATCTGGAACTATAGGTGCATATCATCATGCCTGGCTAATTTTTTTATTTTTTGTAGAAATGGAGTCTTGCTATGTTGCCCAGGATGGTCTCAAACTTCTGGACTCAAACCATTCTTCAGCCTTGGCTTCCCAAAGTGCTAGGATTACAGGTGTGAGACACCATGCCCCGCAAGCCCTTAATTGACATTTTTATTCTATCCACATCCAATTTGTGCCTTTTGTAACCAAGAATTGTAAATGGGCAACTTTGCTGTAGGTCTAGAGAAAGTATAAGAGGTCAAATATTTTATTAGTATGTAAAGACTAGCTCCACTTTAGCAGTTAAGTAGGAAAAATCAAGTGAGAGGGAGAAGTTGGGGGGTTCAGCACAGTTTTCCCAATTCTTCCTTGGGTTCTATAATGTGAATTAAATTATTTTATTTTAAATTAAATTTGAGAAAATCACATGCACTGTGGGCAATTTTAAGTATAAACATGCACTCCAAAAGGTACAAACTTATGGTGTCGGTTTAACCTAGAGATGGCAAACTACAGCCTATGGACCAACTTTGGCCTGCCAATGAAAAATGGCTTTTTAAAAATTTTTAAAGTATAGTGAAAAACAAAGAAGAATGTGTGACGGAGATCTCATGCGGCCCACGAAGCCTAAAATATTTACTAATTGGCCTTAGAAAGAGCTGGTGCCTGCTTTAATCTACTTATTTTGGATAAACCTTTGACATTTTGAACTAGCTTACATATAGTTACACAAATGAGTAATTTAAGATATTGTATGTTTTAACCCAGGTATATTCTCAAGACCATTTATTATATTTGGTTTCATACCTATGTAAAGTAATGACGTGACAGGTGTGAAGATAGTGGGTTATCTCAATTGATTGTTCACAGTTACAGATCAAACTGCTTGTTCTATAATTTCCCCCTTCTCACTGATGTACTTGACTAGTCTTAAAAAACATGTAATAATATAAATTGTAGTACATTTAAGAGTACCATGAACAATAAAAGAATTTCTCTTATACTTTTTTCTCATATCCCTCCTAGATGCTTATCTTCTGCAAATTTTGACCCTCTTTGATCACTCTAATTAATATTCTTATGTTTCTATAAAGTCCAACTATACTCGTAACTGACATGTATGCCTTTGTTTTCTAATATTTTATAAAAAGGCATACTATACTCTCTCTTAATTCTATGCTTACTATATGATGATTAGAAGATAAAAACTAGGATAAGTACTTATTTTTAAGGATTAAAATTCTGAAAATTTCATTACAAAGAAGTTATTCTTAGAGCTTCGGTATCTCTCAAATTTTCACAGTATTCTTTAAACAATAAAAATACTGTATTCAAGTGCACCTTCTTAGAAGTTAGTAAGACACTATTAAAAAGGATACTTTGTTTTGTTATATTGAAATTAAAATAATTTCACCTATTTGGCACAGATATTTCATAGAGAAACATACATGTTAGTTTGTTGAGACAAAAATAAAAGATATGGATTACCCAAAATAGTAACATGATATTTTTTAAAAATTACATTTCTTCTTAGCCACTGAATTTATTTACCTGAAGGTCATTTTGAGGATTCCAATCAGAATCAAAAATTATACATGTATCAGCTGCGGTTAAGTTGATGCCCAACCCACCAGCTCGGGTACACAGGAGAAAAACAAATCGATCTGAATCAGGTTTACTAAATCGATCTATAGCAGCTTGTCGAAGATTCCCTCTGACTCTGCCATCAATTCGCTCATATAAGTATCTATGAAATAAAATGCAACATGTTTAGATAGATGAATATAATGAAAATGAAGACACATTCTATCAAATATAAAGTCTGTTTTCCTGCAACATTATGTTTACCAAAAAATTAAGATGCAATATCATCCCAATTAGTTTCTATGGCTTTATACTTTTTGGTGTGGGTGCTAAGGAGGAAACACAAACTAATATAAAAGATACAAAATGTCTGCATTCTGGGATGTATGGGAAAAACAGCACTATAATTAATATCATTTAAAGAAGTTGGAATAACAAAAAAGTCCATAAAAACTACTTTGCTGGTCTCAGAATAAATTATTCTTAGAAGAAGTAGAGATTTTCACAAGACTTTATACAAGAAATCTATGAATATTTTGGTCCTTAAACTATGTTGCTCTTTCAACTGATATACTTGTTTCTACACTATTACCTACTGAGGGCAAATGGGAGGGCTGTTAAATTCTTTATAGTCATTACTATGAAGTAATTATCTTTTAGTTTCTTTTATCCTTCCCTATTTAACATATACAAACTGCAAAAATTACAAACACCAATAAAAGTACAGAAAAATTTAGGAGCTAGAAGAGGAATGTAAGTGATACATGCGTGACATGTGCCACACTTCCTCTGGTTCAAGACACTTCTTTCCACATATGATTTACTAGCTTTATTAGTAATTCCACTGTTATCTCTAGTACGTGCAAAATGGAGATATGGCTTCTAATAATGTTGCATGGCAATAAAGAAACTTGAGGTTTTCCATGAAATTCTTTATAATAGAAATTTGGAAGTGCAGTTTTATCTTCGTATAAAGTGAATTGTGTAAGGAGATCAAGAAAATGTAAGAATGGCTATTTTTAGAAATATTGCAATTCAATGTTCCTATCACTTACATGGTATAAAATTGAGAATAACATAACATTTTGAAATGAGGCTAAAGGAGGAGAACACTGACAATAAAAATGGAACTAGAAACAAAACAAAACAAAACAAGAACCACAAAATTGCTGATAACATAAACCAGTATAGACATTTCCTTATCTATATGGGTCAAAAATGTATCAAATTAAAATCTAGAGCTAAAATTTCTGATTCCCTTTTATTAATATATTAATAGCTTGATATCAGATTGAATCCTAATGCTCTGATAAAATATCCTATGAAAAATATGCTATTTGTCATGGCCTAAATACTGATTAGACAACATATATATGTTTTTTTGAGACAGGGTCTTAATTTTGTCACCCAGGCTAGAGTATAGTGGTGTGATCATAGCTCACTGTAAACCTGGAACTCGTGGGCTCAAGCAATTCTCCCACCTCAGCCTCCTGAGTAGCTAGGACTACAGGTATGCACCACCATGCCTGGCTAATTTTTTTACTTCTATTTTTTGTCAAGGTAGGATCTGACCACAATTGCCCCTGCTGGTCTGAAATTCCTAGCCTCAAGCGATCTTTGAGGATCTTGGCCTCCCAAAGTACTCGGCCTCATTAGACAATAGTTAAGACTATCTTACTGTCATGTACCAATAAATAAAACAAAACAAAAAACCCACATTAAACAAATTGGAAAGGATTAAAGGATGAACAAATTTTACATAGTGCATAAGAATAAAAGTACAACTTAAGGTTCTAATCATAACAATGAAATAGATCCAACACGTCCTTCAACTCATTTTTTTTTTTAATTTTGAAGATGGCTGTCTTATATATAAGTCCATTTAAGGTGGTATTACTATGAGGTCTACAAATCAAGTAAAATATACACTACTAACCCCATTCCCAGGTCAACAAATACCTATCAATCTGCAGGGTTTTCTTAATCAGTCTCATCAGCCCTACATACAATTGCAACATATGCAGGTTAGGAAAACACACAACAGATAATCCTAAGCAATCTTTATTATAGATTTGAATGCATTCTTATCTAGGTAAAAAGACAGTAAGTTGTGTTACAGTACAGTGCTGCACAAATCTTAATAACATATACTTAGTATAATTCATAGTATAATTCAATGGATTACAGTATGCTTTACCTTTTATGTATGAGATAGTCCTCTAGGATGTCAAGGCAGCGTACCATCTGAGAGAAGATGAGCACTTTATGACCTCCTGCTTTCATTTTGGGAAGCAGTTTATCAATAAGGACCAATTTACCAGCAGACTGGATCATTGCTTGAAGATGAAAATCAGAAGCACCTGGATTATATGTGTCTCTAAATTCTCCAAGTATTTTCTCCTCAGCACCTGTCAAAGAAATACACATTGCTTTTGCTAAGATTATTTATGTTTTGGCTAAATCTCCACCAAAACCAGACTGTAATTCCATTGATGACACAGACAATGTCTTAAGTATCTTTTTATTTCCCAAACACTTAGCATTATGCCTTGCATAAATTGATATTTGCTAAATGTTTAATGAATGTTATTAGGGAAAGAATTAATGAAACTATGGTCCTAACCCTGGTAAGTTATATTTTAAAAACAAACATCTAATATTTAAATACCAATCTTAGCAGTGGTCATCACTGAAGAACAATCATAATTAATCTGAATGTGTCTATGAGCATCCTGTTAGCCATCAAAACAAGAAAACAAGAAAAAATTAAAAGAGAAGTCATGTTATATATGCTGCATACTTCCTTCAGAGAGTCTAGGTCAGAGTTAAAGAGGCTTTCTGAATTCCTTCCCTCAGCCTGTCTAGCCATAAAAGAGTACAAGAATTCCAAGAGAGACTTCAGTTGTCGTGAATGAAGTAAGTACATTAGGAGTATATTCCCAGAAATAAGTGAAAAAAAAAAAAAAACAAGCATTGTACAGAAAGAACACTGGTATTGAAGCTGACAGACCTTAAAAATCACATTACAGCACAAAAAATGAAACACTGCCGGGCGCGGTGGCTCACGCCTGTAATCCTAGCTCTCTGGGAGGCTGAGGCAGGTGGATTGCTCAAGGTCAGGAGTTCAAAACCAGCCTGAGCAAGAGCGAGACCCCGTCTCTACTTTAAAATAGAAACCAAATTAAATGGCAACTGATATATATATAAAAAAAATTAGCCGGGCATGGTGGCGCATGCCTGTAGTCCCGGCTACTCGGGAGGCTGAGGCAGAAGGATTGCTTGAGCCCAGGAGTTTGAGGTTGCTGTGAGCTAGGCTGACGCCACGGCACTCACTCTAGCCTGGACAACAAAGCAAGACTCTGTCTCAAAAAAAAAAAAAAAAAAAAAAAATGAAACACTAATTATGGTACCTAGACTGGAAGGAAACCAGGAATGAAAGGTAAATGCAAAAGCCCAAAGATGAGTTTTGCTGTCTTTGTCCATAAGGAAGATTAACTGGAGGAGGAATTTCAGTTCAAATTATACTGAACGAACTCTTGCTCTTGTAACCTGGTGTGCTAACACCAGCCACTGTAACAAAGTAGTTCATATTGATTCTGAAACATTTGTAATCACTCAGAACACAAGAACACAGAGTTGTAACCTGCGCCACAGCTGTAGTAGTGTTTTGTTTGTATTCACTAGTATTTGTTGAAAGAAAAAAATATTTATTCATTGTAATCCTTTTTAGCTACCTTTGATAAGATATGGATGATTACAGCATTTCCTGAGCTCCATCATAGTATTGACCAAGTTAGGTACATTAGTTTGTCCTGCTCCTTTGGATAAAAATGAAAAGTTTTTCTCCAAAATAGCCCTGTAGTATTTCTTTTGAATGTTGGTGAGTTCTACTTCAATGATGGTTTCTTCCTTAGGTGCCAACTTCTTTTCCACATCTTCTTTTAATCGTCTCAACATCATTGGTTTCAGAATAGCTTGAAGTTTCTGTACCTGAATAAAAAGATGATAAAAAGATATATAAGTGCATATTCAATTATACATAAAAATAATTATAATGATAAGAAATTTGATGAACTTGTTTACAAAGAGCAATAGGATACCTGTTCTTCTGTTTTCAGATCACCAAATTCTTGCATAAATGTTGATTCAGAAGGAAATCTTAAGGGTTCAAGAAAGTGAAGAAGACTAAATAGTTCTTCAACTGTATTTTGGAGAGGTGTGCCGGTCAAAAGCACCTTGTGTTCCTACATAAAGAAAGAACAATTCACATCAAACATCATGGTACTAGGATTATAAGAAAAATGACTTAGGTTATCAAATTTTCAGTGTTTGAAAAGCAAATATTTTTCTGGCCATAATTTTCGAGAGTTAACTCAAAATATATCTCTATACACAAATCTTCAGTAATATACTACGCTAACCACTTTTTAAAAACTTTTTATCATTCTTGTAATACCTCATTTTGTATGCTATTAATTTTTACCCATTCATGCCTTTAAAAATTCTAAATAATTTTAGAAGCAAAGAAATAAACTTTCTAAGAACAAAGGCGGTATCTGTTTTTTTTGTACTCTAGTGTTCTTGGTACAGTAATTTGTATACCAAAGAGTACTCATTATTTATAATTTGGATGACCATCATTTAACTTTTTATACAAGAACAAACTGTCGAATCATTGAGATTACAATTCAAGACTGTAAAGGATGCAATATGTTTCTAAACTAGAATGTCATTAAAAATTAAACATAATACTAACAGAAGACTATTTTTAATGATAGTACAAATTATTATCATTTAAAATTTTATTTGACAAAACCTCTATATCTCCAGTCTCTTAATTTTAGAAATTAATTACTAAAGTTTTTGGAGGAAAGAACATAAACATTTTTAAGTCTTAGAAAGCAGGTATGATTTTTTTCCTTAATAATTAAAAACAAAACCCCTCAATTATCACAGGATTCAGATATATATCTATACTCTAAAATTTAAAAATAAGATTTTATTATCTTTGCATTAACTATGTTTGCATTAACTATCTCTGCATTAACTATGACTCTCTATGACTTTATACTATTAATATGTAGATAAGAAATTGAGGTCATAGTGATGGTATTAAGTTACTTACCAGATTCATGAGTTTCAGACCTTCTAGGAGTTTACAATTTTTATTTTTTAACCTATGTGCTTCATCAATAATCACACATCGCCATTCAATTGCATTAAGCTCTCCACAGCCTCCAAGAATCATTTCGAAAGTGGTGATGATGGCTTGGAATCTGTAAGCTCCTCGAATGATACGCCCCTAGAAATTATCAAATGTAATAATTGGCTGGAATGTCTTAATTGCATTTTTTCTTTTTGTCAAATGGCATCTAATGACATCTGCTATAAAACATTTTCCACTGAAAATTTTATACATGCATAGACACTTCCTTACAATGAGGAGTTTTAGCATTAAAACTGTTAAATTGCTCTGTTTTCAATAATGTCAAAAATTATGCCAATATAATATCATTTATAATTGTATCCAAATAAGTATTCCCTGACAAAATGTTTTATGGTAATTTTTATGAATTATAATAACAATTTTGGTCAAGAAGGAAATGATCATTATAAAATCTGGCCAATGAGAGTCCAGTATAGTGTTTATTACTTAACATCTAAGAGTTCACAAATGATAAATAGTGAATAATTAGCCATTCAAATAATTTATTCAGCAAATATTTATTGAGTGTTACGTGCCAGACCTTGTTCTAGTTGCTAGAGACATAGCAGTAAACAAAACAGACAAAAATAGTTATCTAATTGCAATGTACATTCCAATGATTCTAATGTAGAATACAGTCATTAAGAAAACAAACCAAATATTTTTTTAAAATAAATAAGTTGGAAAGAGATAAGGGCTGTGGAGTAAAATAAAACAAGAATATGTAAGGTTGGAGAGGACCACTGCAATTTTATATTGGGTGGTTGGGAGAACATTATGAGAAGTGACATTTGAGCACAGATCTGAAGATGGGGAGGAAGCCATGCTGTATAAAAGAAAGCATTCTTGGTTAAAAAAAAAAAAAAAAGTAGGAAGTATGAAGGCCCTAAGGTGGGAGTATCTTTGGTAGTACTCCAGTAACAGTAGAAAGCCAGAGTGGCTGAAACCCACTGAGTGGGGAGGTGATGAGGCAGACTGGATGGAGACTTGAAAGCTGTGATAAGAACTTTGGCACTTATTCTGAGCAAGAAGTTATAAGAGGGGTTTGAGAGAAGAAGTGCCATGATTTGACATATATTTTTAGAGTCCCTTTGGCTGTTGTGGTGAAAATGGTATGAAGAGGCCAAGGACAAGATCATGGAGACCAGTTTAAAGTTACCATAGTAATTCAAGCAAGAAATCATCATTTAAGGCCATGAGAAGTGGTTGGTTCTAGATATCTTTTGATGGTAGAGTCAACAGGATTGTGTAATAGACAGGTATAGAATGAAATAAAGAGAGGTCTCAAATTTGACTCTGAAAATTTTAGCTTGAACAATGGAAATTTGTGTTGCTATTCACTAAAAAGAGGAAGTCTGGGATTTTGGTTCTGTGTATGTTAAATTTGAGATGTGTATTAGCTATAACCACATGGAATTGTTAAGTAGCCATTTGGATATGACTCTGGAATTTAAAAGTTTAGAGTTAGTGGTATAGATTTAGGAGTTTCCAGCAGTACAGATGGTATTTAAAGTTACGTGTATGAATGAAATCTCAAAAAGAATAAGTATAAATATAAAAGAGTTTGAAGACTGGGTCACTCTAAAGTTTACATACAGAGAAGAAGGAACCAATAAAGGAGGCTTGAGAAGTAATAAGTGGTGACGTAAGAAGCATGAAGTCCTGGAATCTAAGTGAAGAGAGCGTTTAAATAGGATTGAAAACAAACTACTAGGTAGTAAAAGAAAGGAAAGGTTAAGAACAACTGTGACTTAGGTTTTAACTCATATTAAGCTACTTAATTTTAGATAAGTTCATGTTGATTGCATACACTGGACATTATGTTGAAGAATTGCTCGAATAGAATAGATATGAATTATAAATTTATGGCATTTATACAGCTCTAAAAACCTGGAATACAATATATTCAGTTAAGCTGATATCATCGTGTTTAACAAGTACTCTTGAGTCTGACTGACTTGGGTTTAATTAATCCCAGTTTTGCTCTGTGGTTTTGGGGCAATATATATAACTACTTTATGCTTTGGCTTCCTCATATTTCAAACAGGGATAATATCTATTTTACAAGGTTAACATTACAAAGATTAAGTGAAATAATATATGTAAGCTATCGAGTATAATGCCTGGCACATGGTAAATACTCAATAAATGTTTGTGATTATTAGTGTTATCATTTCTGTTACTTTTCCCAGGGCAATTAGAAAAGTTTTAGCATAATTTTAGCACTATTTTAATTTGAAGCTATTTGATAACTTACAACGAGAAGTAAAATATTCAATCAATTTACATTAAGATATATTTTAGAGTTAACTCTAAAAGTTATTTCTAAATTTGAAGTACAGTTCTATTTATTTCATTACATGACACATCTTTATTGTTTGTAATTTAAAATCTATTCAGACAATATCCTTCTAGAATCTATAACATTTACCAAAAAATACAATATTTAATATATACAATTCAGTTTATTACACATCAAGAATCTTTCAGGTTTTTGGCAATCATATTTATGCCAAACTCATATGACAAATATAGTAAACTTGTAACTTTGTTAAAAATCTCTTAAAGTCTCAAGATTTTAGTGTGCCTTCTGTAAAAATTGAAAAAGTTGAACTAAATCATTTTTACGACACCACACAGCTCTAAAATTCTACAAATGTATGATTAAGAATAATAAAACATTACAGAAGGGAATCAAACTATAACCTAATTAAGATATTATAGACTCCAAAGGTGCAAAAGTGATAGTTTTCAAGTGAGGAATAATTAAAGAATTATATAGATGCTTAATTTCATATAAAAGTAATTGTTTTGACCTTGGAAGTAGAAAGAAAATGAGGTTACAGGAACAAAATCAGTTAATTAATCCATTTTCAGCCTCAAATAGGTAGAAAATCAGTTATAACTGGGAGGCAAAAGTAGAAGGCTATACACATTATCTTATATCAACTTTTGTCATATCCCATGACTTGGCCATGCATTATCATGATACTTTTAGAATAGTAGAATAAGTAAAAGAAAAATATTAAGGTGCTTTTGAGGTAGAGTGTTAGGCAATAAACTTTTTCCAATTAAAAAGTATAATTCTTTGTGAATTGTATCTGTTGATTTTATTACTTCTTTCTTAATAAAGATTTTTATCTAAAATGATTCATATTAACATTCAAGACTGTATTTTGTCCAAGGCTATTTTTCATTTAAAAAAAAAAGACTGCAACTTGGCACTTCATATTTTCTAGTCTTAACTTTCTGTTAGACAATTCTTTATTACATTGTCATCTCTTTGCTTTATGGTCTGTGTATTTAGCAGGAATAGGAGGAAATCCTTTCCTAAAGAGTGAAGTGGCCAAAGCAAAATGGACAATGTGCCTCTAAAATACAGGGGAGAAGAAAACCATCAAGTTGCTATAGTACTGAAATAACTAATCCTAAGGGGAAAAAGATGTAGGTATGCCTGTGTTGGTATACAAAACAAACCAGATTTTTTTAAAAGTCCAAAACTCGAAACCCATTGAATACGAAAGAGAACCTATAGTCTCACCTCAAAAAGCATTTAAACCAATGGTGTTCAATGAAGATTTCGATTTTAAAAATGTAGGAAAAAAAGCCAAAGGACAAAGAGATAGTTATTATTCTAAAAATAAATCTAATGTGTATTTTAAAACAAGTAGTAAAATAATTATTCTAGTTGAAAATTTAAGGATTACAATCAATTTTGTACATTTGTATAAATCAGCATACTTCATTATGGTATACTAGACCATTAAACTGCCTTTTGTCATTGTTCTCTTCAGCTACTAAAATTATAAAATAAAAATTGATGAATAAAAGAGTTTAAACTAAGATCTCAGTAGGCAATCAAAATCTATCTTAAATTTGAAAGTAACTGGTATGTAGAGCTTATCATTTTTCAGCCCTAGCCTTTTAAACAATAAACAAAATCATCAATAACACACCTGTGAGTCCCTGAAGTACATCTCATATTGCTGTATCATCTGTCTGCTAATCAGGCTCCCATGATAAACCACAACATTAATATCAGTCCACGTACGAAATTCTCTCTCCCAGTTTGCAATAGTAGAAAGTGGAGCAATAATCAGAAAAGGTCCTCTTATACCAGTCAGAAGGATTTCGTAGAGGAATGTAATTGATTGAATGGTTTTGCCAAGACCCATTTCATCTGCTAAAATGCAGTTTCGTCTGAAATAAACAAATATATTATCCATGCATACATTGGTTTTTTGTATACTACAATGTTTTAAAAGATATATATATAAAATAATCAAAGATCAAATAATAATACTTGCATTTATAAAAATGGAAAAGTTGCTAAAGTGCAGAATAGGTTCAAGATTACAATTTTATTCTAATCCTACAAAGGGACAACTAAAGATTTTTGTAGCCCCAAAATAAAGATACCACCCATTAGATGTTTGACTTTTTTTTAAAGAGTGAGATAGCAAGAGCAAGGCAAACTAAATATGTTATTCATTTAGGAGTCATTTAGTAAATACCTTCTATCTCTCAGGACAACACGAGAAGATGGGATACAAAAGAAATAAAATATGTTCTCTGCCTTCCAGGGACTTATATCTATTAGAGAAGCAGACATGCAACTAAATATATAGTCATGAAATGTGCCATCATAGAAGCATAGATAAAGCACTGGTTTTCAACCATGGCTGAGCATTAGAAGAGCTTACAAAGCCTGAAAAAAAAATAGATACTCAGATCTCTTCCCTGTACATTTTGATTCAAGATGTATATAGAGAAGAACCAAATCAGATGTAATTAAAACAAAAAAGCTCCACAGATGATTATGACATGTGGCTAGTTAAGAATTATCAGTATAGTTTATTATGGAACCTCAGAAGAGTTAAGTAACAACTTTGCCTAGAAGAGATGACAGAAGACCTCCTTTAAAAAGGAAGTCAGTAATGAGTAGGATTTTGCCAGAGAGCACAGCAAAGGAGAAGTGTAAAGAACGTGATCAATTGAGGGACCGAAACCAGGTTAATATGGTTTTGAGGGGAGTGAGGGAGGAGGGGGAGATTATTGAGATAAGTAGGGTCATTCAGAAAAGAGGTCAGACATCATTCTATTATGCAATGGGAATCACTGAAAATTATAAAAGAAACCCAATGAGATTAGGTTTGTATTTTACAGTTTACTCTGATGCTACTGTGGATATTAGAGGGTGAGGTGACTAGAAGTTGGAACACTAATTGGGAAAGTACCATTAATAGTGCAGGGAAGAAAGTGTGCGCACTTGGTCTAAGGGAAGAGAGACTAAGAGCAGAGAACTGATTCCAGAATTAATTATGAGTTAGAATGAATTGGACCTAGTTACCAAATAGATGTATTGGGTATTGGATGACAGCCATATTTCAGTTTGAGTGGCTAAATGAACTGTGTATTATTAACTAACATGGAAAACAGAGGAAGAACAAGTTTGACATGGAAGCAACAGGAAACAATAAAATTAATTTTGAATCTGTTGTGTTTAAAGAATCATTGAGATAGACATTCAGGTAGCAAGAGGCAAAGAGAAATATGGGCCTGGAGTTCGAGACCTTAGTTAGAGATAAAATACGGTACCATTAGAATATTATTGCTAAGTGAAGGCATGGGGGTATAGAAATGACTTACGGAGAACAAACATGTAATATGAGAAGAAAGCTAAAGACAGAACCTGGGGCAAGAAAAAATAACATCTAAAGGGCAGGCAGAAGAAAAGTAACCAGCAGACTATTGAAAGGAGTAGTCACAGGTATTGGAGAGCTAGGAGAGAGTCACACTTTGGAAGTCTCTGAGTTTTAGAATGGGAAAAAAGTTTAAAAAAGAAAGGAGTATCAAGTATTATCTAATGCAACAGAAAAAGCAAATTAAGGCTGAAAAATATCCCATAGATTGGGAAACTAAGACTTTCAGAAAGGAGATGGAAACAAAATTCAGGCTATAACAGGTTGAAAAGAGAATGGGAGATGAGGAAATGAGAAGAGCTAGTGCAGGCTACTCTACATAGAAATGTGCCTGGGAAGTTACCAAGAAGGGCTCAAGGTACCTAGAAGAAAAAGCAAAGCCAAGAGGTTTGTATTTTTCTTTTTTCTTTCAAGACAGGGTCTCACTCTGTTTCCTGGGCTAGAGTGTAGTGGTGCTATCCTAGGTCACTGCAACCTCAAACTCCTGGGCTCAAGCAATCCTCCTGCCACAGCCTCCTGAGTACCTGGGACTTTAGGCACATGCCACCACACCTCAATTCCTCTATTTTTTTTTTTTTTTTTGTAGAGACAGGGGTCTCACTATGTTGTTCAGGCTGCTCTCAAATTCATGGCCTTGAGGAATCCTCCCACCTCGGCATCCTGCTAGGATTACAGGCATGAGCCACAGTATCAGCCTCTTTTTTCTTTTTATAGATGGGTCAATCCCAAATTTGTTCATAGACCAACAGGGTGGCAATAATCTTCAGGGATGGCTTGAGAGTAAATATAAAAGAGAAGGATGATAAGTGAAGTGAGGTTCTGAGAAGACTGGATGAGATGGCATGTAAAGAGCTGAGGTGGGAAGGATCCTTTAACTTCTAATACAAGAGGACAGAGGTAAGAATGGCTATGGGTGGAGATACATTTGTAGGCCTGGATATGAGGACAGGCAAGAATTTGAATGAAATTCACTTAATGCCCCCAGGTTTCTCTATGAAGCAGTCACACATAGAGTGAAGGGGGTAGACTTGTGATAAAAGGCCTGCGGAAAGTGGTGAAAGTTTAAAATCGGCAATGCAGGAAATTGGAAAGGGTACTGATGAGGGAAGACAAGTTAAAAAAAAATGTTTTGTTAACTATTTTACCTGGATTTTTTCTCTTGGGAAAAATGATGATTATTAACATTTAAAAAATATACCAGGAAAAAGAGGACTACAGGTCCCGCTCACTCCATCTGAGTCTTTTGACTTACCATTACTAAGCTAAAACAAAAACTTGGAAGAATCATGTGAGAAGTAAAAACACAGAAAAATGATTCTGAATAAAAGTGTCATTGAATTTTGCTATTATTACTAATAATAGTGCCTTTATTTGCTCTTTTGTATACACTACTTCTTTCTCAATCATGATACCATTTTTTTTGCTTCTTTGGCAATTGTCTTTTCATCTCAAAGAATGTGAGATATGTTCTACAAAGCATTTTGAACAACTTGGAAAATAATAAGAATGGGGGAATTCATTACTAGGTTCCCATATTTTATACTCCATTTCTCATCAATTACTGACAACTTACTTCTTTGAAGATTCACATTAAATAACAGAGATCTATCTAATCTTACAGGAGCATCTTTCTCACAACTCACTAACTAGAACCAATTATTAGCAGATAGTGACATGAGTTAGTAATCTGAACATAGAAGATGTTTCAGGAGGTATTTCAAATTTAATTATTATTTATTTATTTTTTTTGAGACAGAGTCTCGATTTGCCCAGGCTAGAGTGAGTGCCGTGGCATCAGCCTAGCTCACAGCAATCTCAAACTCCTGGGCTCAAGCAATCCTCCTGCCTCAGCCTCTCAAGTAGCTGGGACTACAGACATGCGCCACCATGCCCAGCTGATTTTTTGTATATATTTTTAGTTGGCCAATTAATTTCTTTCCATTTTTATAGTAGAGACGGGGTCTTGCTCTTGCTCAGGCTGGTTTCGGACTCCTGAACGCGAGCAATCCGCCCGCCTCGGCCTCCCAGAGAGCTAGGACTACAGGCGTGAGCCACCGCGCCCGGCCAAATTTAATTATTAATCAACATACCAACTTTCTTCTATTCTGATTGGTGCATGTTTAAACAAAGCAACTGTAGTTAAAATCCTAAAATGTAATTTACATCTTTTCCTGAGGTAATCTCACTTTAAATAATGAAGACTTCATGACAATAACAATATAGCAACATCAGTATCTATTTTACATAATATATTTTGGCACATATTAAAAAAAAAGAATGACACTAAAATTTTTTTCTATGAAGATACACTACATACCTATTATACCAATTGAATAAGAGCCAGTTGAGTCCTTCAAGTTGATATTCCCTGAGTTGATTGCCATTTTTATAGTCCCTGGATTGATCTATTTTCTTCCAAATATTAGAGGGAGGACGGTCCTTTGTGGAAAAACAAAGAATGAATTATGTATATCAGATGTTTAAATCTTCCATACATCTCACTCATGGCAAAAGCCATTGCTTTTAAAGTAATCCTAGAAGCGTAACAGTGTACAGTGTCATGATGAAATTTTATATAACATTCAAGGATCAAATTAGTTCCTACACAACTATTTCAGAAAATTAAACATTTTTCCCAACTCATTCTAAGAAGACATGGTAACAAAATCAGACAAAGACATTATAAGCAAACTATACACCGATATCCCTCAGGAACAAAGATGCAAATATTCTTAACAAAATTTTACCAAATGGAATCTAACAATGTATAAAAGGGGCAATAAATCATGACCAAGAAGGCTTTTTACAAGGAATGGAAGGTGGGTTTAAAATAGAAAATTAATGAATGCTGATCAACAGATTAAACAAAAATATGATAATCGCAATAGATGAAGAAAATGTATTAGAAAATTTCAACATCCACTCCTAATAAAAACTCTCATCAAATTTTGAATAGAAGGGAACTTCCTCGACCTGTTAAGGTGCATCTACAAAAAAACTAAAGCTAACATCATACTTAAAGGTGAAAGACTGAATGAATGCTTTCCCTCTAACATCAGGAATAAGGAAAGGATGTCCACTGTGCCAACTTCTATTCAACATTGTACTGCAGGCTGTAAGTGTAATCAAGAAAGAAAAAGAGATGCAAGTTATCAAGAATAAAAAGGAAGAACTAAAGATGTCTTTATTCATAGAAGAGATGATTTGTCTACATAGAAAATTTTGTGGAATCGACAAAAAAAAAACTAAACTAGTAACTTTATCAAGGTTGCATAATACAAGATCAATATACAAAAGTCAATTGTATTCTTTATGTGGCAACAATCATAAATACATTTTAAAAAAACAATACCCATTTTAAAATAGCATCCAAAATATGAAATATTTAAGAATGTATCTGACAAAAGTTGTGTAAAACCAGTATATTTAAAACTACAAAACACTGCTGAAATTTAAAAAGAGCTAAATAAATTAAGAGATATATCATGTTCATAGATTGAAAGACTCAACATTAAGTTATTAATTCTTCCCAAATTAAACAATGGATTCAATGCAATTCAACCAAAATCCCATCAAGGCTTTTATAGAAATTGACAAGCCAAGTCTAAAAGCATAAGGAAATACAAATGACCAGAAACAGCCAAACAACTTTGAAAAAGAAGAATAAAGTTGGAGGACTGACTGATTTCAAGACTTATAAAAGTCATAGAATTAAGACTATATAGAATTGATGTAATGCTAAAATAAAACAAAACAAAACAGGTCAATGGAACAGAATAGCTGGTTCAGAAATACATCTATAGGTATTTAGTCAATTGATTTTTGACAAAGTTGGACAGGCAATTCAGTGAAGAAAAGAGAGTTTTTCAACACATCAAATGGTGCTATAACAATTGGATAACCCTGAGCAACAATGAACTTTGAGCCATGCAATTGTACTACATACAAAAGTAACTCAAAATGGATCACAGACTTAAATGTTACCTAAAACTATAAAATTTCCAGAAGAAAGCAGGAGAAAAGTCTTTGAGAATTTGGGTTATATAAAGATTTCTTAGATATGCCAAAAGTATGAAAAGATAAGCTGGACTTCATCAAAATTAAGAACTGTTGCTCTTCAAAAGATATTGCTAAAATAATGAAAAGGAAAGCCATAGGCTGGGATATGTTTATCAGGGCATATATTTGCAAATCATGTATCAAATAAAAGACTTGTACCTAGAATATGTGAACAAATCTTAAAGTTTTAATAAGAAAACACACAAGTCAATAAAAAATAAGCAAAATCTTTGAACAAGTATTTTATGAAAGAAGATTAATAGTAAATAAACACATGAAAAGATGTTCAAAATCATTAATCACTAGGGAAATGCAAATCAAAACCTCTATAACACATAATTACAAACCTGTTAGAATTGCTAAGATTAAAAAGACCAATGATATCAAGTTTTGGCAAGGATGTGAATCAACAGAACTCTCATTCACTGCTGGTGGGAATGTAATATGGTATGACCAATCGGAAAAGTTTGGCAGTTTCTTAAAAAGTTAAACATACACATACCATATGACCCAGCCATTTTACTCATAGGTATTTACTCAAGAGAAATGAAAGCATATGTCTACACAAAGACTTGAATACTAATGTTCATAGCAGCTTTCTTTCTTTTTTTTTTTTCAGCTTTATTTGTAAGAGCAAACACAAATATACATCAAAAGGTAAATGGACCAAAACTTATGGAATACTACATTATAATAAAATACTACTCAGTAATAAAAAGGAATGAACTATTGAAACATGCAATGACATGGATCTCAAAATAATTATGCTTATGAAAAAAGCCATATGTAAAAACATATACTATCTATTTACATAAAATTATAGAAAATGAAACATAGTTGGTAGTGACATAAAAATCAGTATTTCCTTAGAAATGGGGAGTAGGGTAGAGAGAAGGAAGATTTATGAGGGAGGGATTACAATGGTACATGAGAACACTTCCGGAAAATCATGGAGTGGTGCTGAAAACATAAAAAAAAGAAGAAAGAAAACAAGAAATTCTAAAAATTTAAAAATAAAAAAAGGAAAAAGCAAAACTTATAAAAGTGTATGAGTTATCTCATTTGATTGTTCACAGTTAGTTTGAACTTCTTTTACTTTCCCCTTTCTCATTACTACACTTGACTAGTCTTAAAAAACAACAACAATGAAATCATGGAGTGGTGCTGAAAAGAAAAAAAAGTAAGAAGAAAATGAGAAATGTAAAAGGAAAAAGAAAAACTTAAATATGTACAGTTTACTATGTCACTTCAACCTCAATAAACCTATTTTCAAAATGGCTGGGCATGGTGGTGCATGCCTTTAATACTAGCATTCTAGGAGCCTGAGGCAGGAGGATCACTTGAGCTCAGGAGTTTGAGACCAGCCTCAGCAAGAGTGAGGACCGCCCCCCCGCAAAAAAAAAAGATTAGCTGGGTGTGGTGGCGTGAGCATGTAGTCCCAGCTACTCGGGAGGTTGAGACAGGAGAATCACTTGAGCCCAGCAGTTTGAGGATGTAGTAAGCTACGATGATACCACGGCACTCTAGCCAGGGCGACAGAGTGAGACTCTGCCTCAAAAAGAAAGGCAAAAAGGATAAATAATGTATATCAGATTTTCTCATATATATTTTAAATCTACCATACAAATTACTACTTTTGTCCATAATATCACTTTTAATATTTATGGTACAAAGCATCTCTTTCAAAAGAAATACAGAAGCATAGAAGTATACTATTATATGTAAAAACCTTTTACTCATTTATATACACAGTTATATTTATTCAAATATAATTTTTCTTTCTCAGCAATAAAGGGCTCTGTCATAAATTTATTCTGGACAGCTAAAACATAAATTTTCAAGATTCCTGAATAAGGTGAGGAAATAACATTATTCTAGCCCCAAATTAATAGTCTAGGTTGTAGGATAAACAAATTTCTTAGGAACAAGCAAAAGGTTTCCTATTGTCTTTAGCTTTAAAAGTATATTATACTGGGGCCAGGCACGGTGTCTCACACCTGTAATCCTAGCACTTTGGGAGGCCCAGGCGGGCAGATCACTTGAGGTCAGGAATTTGAAACCAGCCTGAGCAAGAACGAGACCCTGTCTCTACTATAAACATAGAAAGAAATTAATTGGCCAACTAATATATATAGAGAAAAAATTAGCCGGGCATGGTGGCGCATGCCTGTAGTCCCAGCTACTCGGGAGGCTGAGGCAGGAGGATTGCTTGAGCCCAGGAGTTTGAGGTTGCTGTGAGCTAGGCTGACGCCACGGCACTCACTCTAGCCTGGGCAACAAAGTGAGACTCTGTCTCAAAAAAAAAAAAAAAAAAAGTATATTATACCATCACTAATCAACAAAATTATACTTCTAAAAATTATCAGAATAATCAGTAAGTGTATAGTAACTGTAAATGAAAAACAAAACACAAGCTATCAGTATAATGAAAACAGAACTGTTTATTGAGGTCCTGCTGCTTCTTAACCACTTCGGTACGAGCGTTGACTATAGTAGATAGCCACAGATGAACGTGCACGGCCGAACGTTGACTGTAGCCGACAGCCATGATATGAAGGGGCACAGCCGGGCGTTGACTTTAGTTGACAGCCAAAAGCTTTTACTTTTACAGCTTTTATCTCTGCAGTTGCAGTGTGTATATTCAGCTAATAAGTTACTACGAATCTGTGATCTTTTAACAAGTCTTCAGTAGGAGTTATTATAGTACGCTTTTGATTCGTGTAAGTAATAATATAATTTACCTATTTCCAAGATTTTTCTGTTTTTATTTTTTATGTTACATCTTAGTTTTTATAATTCTGAGACCCATAATGGATTCTGACACGTCAAGTGAAGGCAGCATCATTTTAAAACGTAAAAACGTTACTTCAAAATAATTAATTCCCTCCTTCTACATTTTTTTTAACTTGTCTTCCCTCATCAGTACCCTTTCCATTTCAGTATGGAATGTATACTATCTCTATAAATTTAACACAAAAACAACTATATCAATGTCCGTATATCATTTGGCGTTAATAACAAAACTTCTACAACAGTACTCCGAATCAAGGCAATATAACCCTTGTACTGTATCAGAAAATCTCATGCATCTCTAGCACTCTGGGAGGCTGAGGCAGGTGGATCATTTGAGCTCAGGAGTTCGAGACCAGCCTGAGCAAGAGCGACCCTGTCTCTACTAAAAATAGAAAGAAATTAGCTGGACAACTAAAAATATATAGAAAAAATTAGCCAGGCACAGTAGAATAGGCTGTAGTCCCAGCTACTCGGGAGGCTGAGGCAGAAGGATTGCTTGAACCCAGGAGTTTGAGGTTACTATGAGTTAGGCTGATGCCACGGCACTCTAGCCTGGGCAACAGAGTGAGACTCTGTCTTAAAACAAAAACAAAACAAACAAAAAAAGAGAGTTGATAACTTTAGCAGCATAAAACAGACTAAGGAAAACAACTGATAACTCTAGACTAGGACTGGAACTGACATTATTGACATTTATATGAATGATATGAGAGAAGGAGTAATGAGAAACAAATTCAGAGATGAGGTGGAAGTATTAAATGGAGCAACTTTTCTGGAGGAAAATTGGCAAGAAAATACTTATTAAAATTGTAAATGAACATATGCTTTCACCAAGCAATTACACTTTTAAATTATCTTACAGAAACATGTACAGGGGCTTGATGTTCAATGTAGCATTGTTGATAATAGCAAAAACTGGACCATTCACTAATAAAACAGCTAAATTAATATACATATATAGCAATTAAAAAGAATACAGTATTAATTACAAAACAAGGGCTAAGTAGAAAATTCAAAGTAGACACTAACTCTACTAAATAAAGAAGTGCTAAGGTTTTATGAAGCTTTTTAAGAGTTCTTACCAAATGTCTTGTGTCAGGCCTTGAAGCTTGCAGTTGTTCAAACTCCTCTATTTTTGCAAGATCTACATCTTCTTTTAGTTCCCAAGTACTATCTTCATAGGGCAATGAGCACCATTTTACTAAGTAGTAAATGACAGGCTGTAAAAAATTATTTTTTCATTTTACCATTTTGAAAAAGCAAATAGTAAAAAATAGCTTAAATGCATTAAACTACATCAATAAAAACAAATGACATTTTTTAGTATTTTTAGGCCTTAGGTTCTAGAAGGTACTAGGGTTTACTTACTTAAAAAGTATTTTTACCAAATATTTACCTCACCAGTATCCTTATCTTCACAAAAAGAGACTTCTAATACTCTGTCTACTTCAACGTAGTCTGGGTTAAATGGTTCTTCTTCCATCTAAAATTAAAAAGTAACTTAATTGAGATCAGACAAAGAAGTGGAAAGGTATAAGTAGAGACAAATTTACTAGCATTTCACTATAGAACTTAAGTTTAATTTCAATTAAATTTCCAACAAATGGAATTTTTCCATTTTCATTTTCCAAAGATATCAAGGATATTATGAATAACCATGTTATAAATAATAACACCAACAAATGGCAGTAAAAAATAAGGTACTCCAGACAAATAAGTTAGTCTAGAAGATATATTCCTTAAAAATACCCTGAAAGCAGCCACTATACATTTCCTTTGCTACTTTACTCAAGCTACAAGAATTGAAGACCAATCATCCCACATGTAGATATATTTCTCAGCTGTATCAAAAACTCTGTATCTTCACCTGATGGTTCCTTTGCTCAAGACCCACTTAATTTAGCTGCATGCAAACTACCTCAAACTTTAGGCTACCTCAAACTCAATTGCACTCATTATTCTTCAACCCACATCTCCTCTTGTATTTTCTAACCGGATTAATGGTAACACAGCTCCCTCTCCATGGCCCACACGCAGTTACACAAGCCACAAGTCATTTTAGAGTCCTTCTTTTTCTTTACCACCCCCGACATCTCGTAAGTCACCAAATTGTACAGATTCTAGTTTTACCTATAACTCACATTGGTTCCTTCTTCCTCATTCTCACTTCTTACCTGGACCTTTACAAATAACCCAACTACTGTCTTGCCTCCCTCTAATCTGTTTTTCACATCGTCTCTAGAGTAATCTTTCTCAAATATAAATCTTACAAATTGAGCCCTTGCTTAAAATCCTTCACTGACTCTCTATTTTTTTTTTTTTTTTAGACATAGTCTCACTCTGTCACTTGGCCTAGAGTGCTGTGGCGTCAGCCTAGCTCACAGCAACCTCAAACTCCTCGGCTCAAGTGACCTCCAGCCTCCAGAGTAGCTGCAACTAGAGGCATGTGCTACCATGCCTGGCTACTTTTTCTATTTTTAGTAGAGATGGTGTGTCGCTTTGCTCAGGATGGCCTTGCACTCCTGAGCTCAAGTGATCCTCCCGCCTCGGCCTCCCAGAATGCTAGGATTACAGGCATGAGCTACCACACCGGCCCATATTAGTTTTTGTGGAATAAACAGGATGCTTTCTTTTCCTCCAGCCTCATATCTCCCATTGCTTGTCACATCTTTAACCCAGATTTCATGCTCCAGAAGGAAAAAACATGATTTTTCAAACCCCATGTTCTTTCACACCTCCATGTGTTTACCTTCATTCTTCTTTCTTCTGACTAGATTGCTGTCCCTTGTCTCATCTGCTGGGCTCATTCCTACTCATCTCTGAAAGTCTTACTTTCAATAGCCGTCTCAGCTTTCTTTGCTACCTCTCTTCCTCTGCTTATCCTCTAAATGCTATAGTACTCCATGGCTCTGACTTTAGTTCTCTTCATTATCTTAAACCTCTCCTGAATGATATTATCATTCCTATGGTTTTAGATAGGACACAAAGATACTGGTAACAAAGTACAATGCTGAACATCAGAATGGTATCTTGGTACTTTAAGATTAAAAAAAAAGTTGTTACTGGGGTTGTTGGTTTTTTTATTTGTTTTGGGTTGTTTTTTTCCCATTTTTTGGTTTTTTCAACCTTTCGGTTTTTTTTTTTTAAAATTAACCATTCTTCAATTTTTCTTCGGTAGGAAACTTAAACCATTTTAAAGGGAACTTTCTTTAATTGAATAAAAAGAGAAAAGAAAATTTTTGCAGTTTCTTTTTATGTTGTACCTGAGTCAGGTAAGACAAGTTAGTCTTCATGAAAAATTAAAGACCAATGAAGTCCTTCTAAAATCTTCAGCTCATTAGGAACTTCTAGGTTACAGTAAATAGGTGAGAGATTTTTGAGGATCTGGGAGGCCCTCCTACCATTCACAAACTGATAAATTATTAGAATACTCATATTTTTGAGGTAGATTTAATAATTACAAAGGAAATAACAAAAATTTCATGGTGGAGGTATCTAGCACGTACCATCTTAATGTAGTGATCAAAGTTAACCACCAGTAATGTGGCAAACAGGCATCATGTACCACCTGACATCATTCACTGAGAATAAAGCATCACTTCTATGGTGTTCTTTTAAAAAATGCCTAACCTGAATTGTGAGGAAACACTACACAACCCCAAACTGAGGAACCTTTTACGAAATAAATGAGCTGTACTCTTAAAAAACGTCCAAGAAATGAAAAACAAAGACTTGACTAAGGAAGACATTACAACTAACTGCAACATGTGATGCTGGCTTACAATCTGAACTACATAAACACATATACTTTTATACCATAAAACTTTTATACCATAAAAACACTAGTGAAACAATTAGTGAAATATGAATAAGGTCTGTAGATGAGACAATATAGTACCACATCAATGTTAACTCTATTTTTATATAAGATGATGTATTTGTTTTTAAGAAATAAATATTAAAGCATTTACAACTCACTTTCAAATGGTTCAGAAAAAATGTGTGTGCAGGACAGAAAGAGAGAGAGAATACAAATGATAAAGCAAACATGGTAAAATAGTACCATTTGGAAATCTAGTTAAAATGTGTGTGGGAATTTGTCTTATAACTATTTTGTTTAAAATAAAAATTTTTTAAAAATTTCTAAATAAAAAGAGTTAGAGGAACCTAAAACTGCTTAAAAAAACAGTGTATTTGAAAAAAAATTTAGAGCAGAACCAAAAAAATTTACATCAAACCATTTAGTGAGGCAAAGTAAATGATTTTTTTCAATGATGCTCTGTTCACACACACACAAGACTGGCATAGAAAATATACAATATATTTCATGTTGAAAAATCTTATTTTCTGTTTATTTGCTACATTATTGCTTCCTTTACTTGAATGAGTTTGCTGATAAATTCTTTGTGATATTAATACACCCACATTCAACTCTAACTACTGAAATATAGGCTAACTTAAAAGTACAAGCATTATCTACTGTTCTGAATTATTAGTGTTCCTGTGCCGGCTAGTTTCCAAGCTATTTTGGGGAAGAGAAAAATACTATATGTAGATAGCATTTGTATTCAAATATCAACGTTGGAAGCCTAAGAATTAAAATAATAATTTTTGATAAATAATACTACATGTGTTCAGAGTCCAACACATAATAGTCTTATTTATTTTTTTCTTACGTCTGCAAAAAAATGTGCTCTTTGTGCTTGTCTCAATTTGAATCGTTTGATTTTCTGCTGGATCCTTTTATCTTTCAAAAGTTGTTGTTCTGTGGCCCACTCACAGTGAAGATAGGAGCTAAAATTTTTATAAAAGCAATATATTAGAATGATACAGAAAACCATGTTTTTCTAGATGTATTTTAATCATAACATCCAACACAAAATATTACTTTCAACCTTACAAATAGGAAGCTTATCATTTCATTTAATTGTAATAGATTCCATATAGTTTCTATTATAAAATAAAGTCATTATGATCACTATATCCTAGGACATCGTACTCTAAAAGGTCTGCAATTTGCCATAAAGAAATAGAATGATAAAATGATAAAAAGTTTAACAGAAGATGTGATTTATCTTTTATTTTTTTCATGGAAATAGTTTTGTCATGCTTAGAAAGCTAACTTGTTTTGAAACCAACATAATTTTATTTAAAATGCTTTCATGGAGGTATAGAGAAAAGCTGGAAAGTGAACAAAAAGAAGAGTAATGATTTTCCCACAATTACCAACTCTTAATTAATTCACCTATGACAAAGATTAAAATTTAAACTTCTAATGTCAAATCATCACATTGTGTACATATGACACAAAAAATTTAAAGATCAGAAAAGCTTTCTTTTTTTAAGAGATGAGGTCTTGCAATATTGCCCAGGCTGGCCTTGAACTCCTAGGCTGACACAATTTTCCTGTCTCAGCCTCCTGAGTAGCTGGGACTACAGGTAGATCAGAATGCCTTTTATAAAAACAGTAAAATCTGAAAAGTTCAATAATACAAGTACAATGAGTAATGTCTCTAATTTGTAAAAGCATATTTTATAAAGATTCCTGCATTTTGATAATAATTAACATTTTCTGGGGGAAAAACATTCAGTTTTAACATGAAAAGTTTTCAAATAGACCCTTTTCACTTTTTAATGATTTTTAGGTTCATGCAATTATAAAGAATAAAAACTATCATTAAAAATGTAGATAAAATGAAAAGCATAATTAATTTTAACTTTACATATTTATATATTATTAAATATATTAATTTATATTTTAGTTGACATCTTTTGATTATTTTTCTAACTCAAATACTTACTAATTCTTGTATTTTACAAAAAATTCTTCTGTATCAATCATCACTCCAGGTGATATCTAAGAAAATAAAATCAATAATTGTAAATCTTTTAAACAGGCCAAAGAATATAAAGTGTAAAATGTAATGCACCATTACTTACTTCCTTTTTCACAACTCTAGAAGATAGTATTTTGTCTACAATTGCAGCATCTTCTTCACTCGGGTTCTCCTATGGGGGTGAGGGAAAAAAACATGATGGAACACATTCAGAAAACTCTTTTAGTTGCCACTTTGTGTGTTTATGAACAACACTAATATTCGACAAAAATTTATTTACATAAGTGTTGGGCACTATGATAAATACTAGGAATATAAAAATGGAAAAAAATACATCCCCATTGTTATTGTCTCTGTCATCATCATCATCATAGTAAACAATTGTGTTTTGTTTTTTTTTTTTGAGACAGAGTCTCATTCTGTCCCCGGGCTAGAGTGCAGTGGCATCATCATAGCTCACTGTAACCTCAAACTCCTCGGTTCAGGCAATTCTCTTGCCTCAGCCTCCCAAGTTAGCTGGGACTACAAATGCACACTACCATACCTGGATAATTTTTCTATTTTTTTGTAGACAGGGTCTTGCTCTTGCTCAGGCAGTTCTAAAACTCCTGGCCTCAAGCAATCCTCCTGCCTCGGCCTCCCAGAGTGCTAGGATTACAGGCAGGGCTCAGGCTCACTCAGCTATCAATGAGTGGCTTACAATGCAGATAAGGGGACTAAAAGAATTACAGATGAGCAAAGTACATATGCAAAGTACATATAGAGGTGTCAAAACATGGCATTCTGGCAACTATGTTCATAAAACAGATGGTTGAGATGCAGGAGATGAAACCAGAAAATCCAAATGGTTTTAATACACTATGCTGAAAAGGCATTATTATTTTTGTAAGATTTAGGAAACTCCATTCAATCCAGCAATTCCACTACTGGGTATTTACCCACAGAAAAAGAAGTAATTTTATAAAAAAGACACCTGTACCCAAATGTTTATTGCAGCACAATTAACAATTGCAAAGATATGGAATCAACCAAGGTACCCATCAACTGATGAGTAGATAAAGAAAATGGGGTATATGTCTACCATGGAGTAGTTTTCAGCCATACAAAGGAATGAAATAATGTCTTTTACAGCAACTTGGATGGAATTGGAGACCATTATCCTAAGAGAAATATTTCAGGAATGGAAAAACAAATACCACATGTTCTTACTTATAAGTGGGAGCTCAACAAAGGATATATGTAGTCATAAAGCAGTGTAAAGGCTCACACTTGTAATCCTAGCACTCTGGGAGGCTGAGGCGGGGGCCAAGGGGGGCGGAGATCGTTTGAGCTCAGGAGTTCGAGACCAGCCTGGGCAAGAGCGAGACCCTGTCTCTACTAAAAATAGAAAGAAATTAGCTGGATAACTAAAAAAATATATATATATATAAAATTAGCCAGGATAGTGGCACATGCCTGTAGTCCCAGCTACTTGGAAGACTGAGGCAGGAGGATCGCTTGAACCCAGGAGTTTGAGGTTGCTGTGAGCTAGGCTGACGCCACAGCACGCTAGTCTGGACAACAGAATGGGAGGAGGGAGGGAGGGAGGGAGGGAGGAGGAGGGAGGGAGGGAGGAGGGGAGGGAGGAGGAGGAAGGAAGGAAGGAAGGAAGAAGGAAGAAGGAAGGAAGGAGAAGGAGGAAGGAAGGAAGGAAGGAAGGAAGAGGAAGGAGGAAGGAAGGAAGGAGGAAGGAAGGAAGGAAGGAAGGAGCAGTGTAATGGACATTGAAACTAAGAAGAGGGATAGTGGAGTGAAGGATAAAAACCTACCTATCAGGTACCTTGTATACTATTCTGGTGATGGGTATACTGAAAGCCCTGACTTGAGCATTATACAATTCATTCATGTAACAAAAAAACACTTGTAACTCCCCCCTAAATCTACTGAAATAATAAAAAAAGAAGGAAACCATTAGAGGAGTTTTCAGTAGAAAATTAATATGAGTAGACTTGTAATTTAGAAATACTCTGCAGAAAGGATAGAGTTTGGAGGAATTTTAGGAATATATATTTAGGAGGCAGAAAAAGTGGTGACAACTTGGATGCAGAAGCAAAGGAAAATGTGGAAAAGGTGAATCCCTAGGTTTCTGATTTGAATGACTCTGTCAACTAATAATATGGAATCCAGGAGGACAGGCAGGAATAGTTTTTAGAAGGAAAAACGACCAAAGTATTTTATAGAATTTATGTTGGTTTAAAACGTTTTGTAGTCATAATCCCAAAAATGTCTTACCACAAATAATTGTAAAGGCTGTTCACCAGGTAAAGGAGCTGAATTCTTTTTTATTTTCATAGAGCATTTAACCTCTTCTTCAGATTGTTTCCCTTCTGCATCTTCTGCATATTTTTTTCTTTTAATTTGTCGATTTGATCTTCTTTTCTGTAATGAACCACAAGGATCAGATTTATATATTTTGAAAGAACAGTTTTTAAAATCATTACCCTTACAGTTGGCAATTTTGTACATTAAATTTTTAAGATTACATTCAACACTCATCTTTTCCTATCTTTCTTTTTACTTAAAGGAGTATAATTTGCCCCTTTGCCACAAGCTTACAATCTTCCTGAAGTTTTACTTCCAATAATTCAGATAACAAAGATTAGTAATACCTTTCTTTATTACCTTTCTTTGGAAATTGTTAAGAATAAAAGAGTCTTTCTTCTTAAAAACTATTTCACAGGTTGGGCAAAATATGTTTTATTTGTATTACCTTTATTACTGTATTACTTTTCTTTAGAAACTATTCTTAAGGATAAAAAATTATCTGTTTTATTTAAGTATGTCACATCTTGGGCAATACATATTTTAAACTAATATTACTTTCACAGTTTTTGCCCAAAATCTAAAATGTATATCAGATGAATACTGGCTAAATAATTAATTGGGGACATGAACCTAGAAGAAGAAATTAAATAATATTCGACAAAACATGTGAAACTGTGTTTAAAGCAGAATAAAATAATATAAAATATTTTAAAGGAAATATGCAAGATAATAAAGAATTAAATCTACCAAATAATTAAATTTGAATAAAGGAAGAAACTGTTCCACTAACCTTACTAGCTCTCCTTAAAAATAAGGAACATCACTATCGTCAAACAAAATAAAGCCTTTTACAAAGTATTATAAAGTAATATAATTTTTAAATAATCTAAGTAATTTAAAATTGGGACTCAAAATACACATGGCTTTACTTACCTCCCTAAATATCTAATATTTGTTTCAAAAGTTTTATATTGCAAGGAAAACTTTAACAGAAAGACTCACAAAGTTACACATTTTTTGATGTTTCCACTATAAAAGCAAAATCTCAAGTTGGTTTGAAAATCCCAAGGGGTTTAGGTTTACTTTTTTTTTACTTCTCTAATTCTCGCAGAGTAGAGGCAGCTCAGCCAACTGTTCTACTGCTCAACATTTGGTAAATCTATCCCTTCTTTATTCTATTCCATTTTCTTCTATATATTTAGTAACTTTCACAACACTCCCCAAAAATGGAACCAGCAAAATAACCCACATGTTCTTCTTTTGGTTTCTGCCTGTCTTCTGTTTGGCAGTCTTTCATTTACTTCCATAGCCATGACAAAATTGGCTGAGTCAGTGCTGCAGTTGGGTACAAACTGTTATTTGTATCCAGTAAGGTTGCAGTGGCCTTTAACATCATGCTGCTGACTCTTTCTCTTATGAAAAGCAGAATATTAAGAGAAACAAAGGCACTAATATGGTCAGTTAAATGTGGTAGACAACTTCATACCTCATTTAGGATGGGTCACTGTCTTTTGGCCATGAAGACATTTAGATTTTCAAACCTCAAAGTAACACTTCTATATGAGACAGGCAGGTGGCATATAAAAATTATAAGAAAAGGACTACCAGAAACCCAATTTTCCCACATCCTATTTTGAAAATGATATGAATTATTTATTTTTCCCTGGTGAGGAAAATTCTATGGATTTCTAACACTAAGCTAAAAGAATATTTAGAATTCTATTATGGGCATGATATAGATCTTAATGTTCAAGAATAGTTTAAACTAATAAACAACTGTGACATTATTCTAAAAATAACACGTATTTTTTAATGTCTCACTAAGCATGACTTCTAAATAATGAAGTTTGAGAATAATTCAGTACATTTTTAGAAAATTCTGTTAGATGTTTTCAGCATTACAGTTTCCTTTCTGGTCACTCAGGATCTGTTAGTACTTAGAAATATCTCAGTTAGTCTTTAGTAAATAGTAAATGAGTGACCTGAAAGAATCCTTCAAACTCACAAAAAGTGAGCACTCAGGTAATTCTTCACAAAATAGAATGAGGCCCACTTATTATAAAACTTCTCCTTTATCCTATGAAGACTTTATCAGTCTAACAGATTAATTAAAAAGTCCATGAAAGTATGAGATTATAGATGATTTTACCATAAATTATATGCCACTAGAGTATGTAGTTATACATTAATAAGGTAAGGCCAATTAAAGTGTCATTCTCATCATTTATCTTTCTCTGTCATACAACATCTCTACTAGTTTAAAAATATAAAAATTAATCTGATGTCCCTATTTTTGGCTAATGTGCTTTTTTCTGGCTTTCTTTCTCCATAATGTTTTTTAAAGCACAATTTAAAATACTGATAAATTCTCCCTTCTAATGTCTTATCTCTACCTTTTCTCTTATGTGTTAAAGGCTTCCACAGATCAGCCTATGGCACTTTGCACAAGAAGACAGAAGCATTATGCTTTTAAGTAACTAATACAGTACTTCACTATGATATCACTTCTTTCCTATAATGATCCTAATAGTGTGATCTGCTGCAAGGGCATTTTAAAAAAAATTTAGGTCTCTAAATTACCTGGACTTCTCAAATATTCTCTGTTAAGATTAAAGGTAACAAAATTAAATACCAAATCACATTTTTAGATTTCCACCTGACTCCAAAGCTTAATTAGTTTCTGAAAGTTCAAATCTTGACAATCCCCTGTTGTGGATGAAAGCTATATGGACCTTTCCATCATTTATATAATGACATAATTATTATATAATGAAAATATATCAATAATAGAGATTTATAACTTAGAAAATATTTCTTTCCTTCACCATTGTGTGTGTGTGTGTGTGTGTGTGTTAAAACAACACACCTGTCAAAACTGTTTCATTGTTTGGTAATTGCATAATGGAAAAATGGCCAGCATTATTCAAGTAAAAATTAAACTAAATTTTCTCATATTGAATAAGTTAAATATAAGTTTGCCTAAGTTAAGGATAACATATGAAAAAAAAGCCAGGCCATATAATATTAGGAGCTTCAGTCACTGCCCTTACCTCAACTGTTGCAGCAGCCCAGGAGCCTTGAGCCACTACTCTCCCATTGGATAAGAAGCTGCATAAGGAAGAAGAAAGGCCATTCAGGGGCTTTCTGGCCCCATAATTCAACAAATGCCACCACCCCTACGGCCTACAATTGTATTTTAATTATTAGAGGGCAGAGGGTGGCCTGAATTATTATGACCTTCACTATATATAATTTTTAACTTCATAGAATTATTTTGAATATCCACCTATTCCAAAAGCAAAAAAGGCAAAATGTACAGTATTTATGTCTACATTAGGGGATTTTAAGTATAATTGTTTATCTTTTCTTCAACAGAAGGGCAGACTAAAGGAATTATTTCTAGGAATGATTCAACCCATTTGCTTTGTCATTTGTATTTGATTTAAAAAGTTAATATCTCCGTCATTAAGTTCATTCAAAAGCATTCTATAAGTACAGGATAATATTACTAGATACTTCTCCATACCAAAGCCATTGAGGACTTTGTACTGTTACTTAACCTCTTTGGGTTTCAGTTTCACTATCTAAAAAATGAGGGGTTCGGAGAGGATATGTAAGTTTCCTCCCACATCTAATATTCTATGGTAATACTACTAGGGGCATATTGTAATAATGCTATCCTATAAGTTCTATCATACAATAAAATATATTTTTACTATTAAACTATAATGTAAATATCTATAAGGCAATATTATGCTACCTAAGTAATCCTAACAGTGTTTTCTTTTCTCAGAAAAAATTTTAATACTCACTTGAGAGTCTTGATCTTTGAATGTATGCTGTGGCATCTGCTCTGCATCAGATATTTCATCTGAAGACTCATTCTTTCTTTTTTGTTTCTTACCCAATGTAATAATGAGCTTGCTGTTTCAAGAAGAAAAGAGTAAACAGTAAGACCTCTTTGCATTTTCCCATTTTCAGTCAAATTAAGATTGCCGTGATAAACTTTCTTCCATTTTATAGCACTTGCATGTCCAATCAAGGATGATAATTACCCCGAAATTCATGACATTTTCAAAACATAAACTCCGTTCTAATGGAACAAACATAAACTAATACTACAGTTAATATATTTCTAAGCACTGAAATCCTATCACTTGTTTTTTAGGCTCTCGATTACTTTTCATGGGAAAAATTTCAGGTGATGTAACTGTATTCAATAATAAAAATAATTTATTTATATTTTATTATCTTGCAGATTTGGAATGAAGGATTTTTTTTCTACCTCTTATTAAATTCAAATTCTACTTATTGTCCTTGAATCCCTCCTATTCCCTAAAATCATCTACTTCTTTCTATCCAACAATAATTTCTCCCTTAAGTAAGACAATTTAGTTAATTCTTTCATTGATGTTAAGGCTTATCTCAGCTTATTGTATGTTCCTAAAGAGTAAAAACTATTATTTTTTATATTTCTACAGTATGTATGGGTCAACATATCTTTATATATTAATATTTATAAATATATATATCAAATAGAATTGTCTAAAATGAAGTTTTTTTCTTTCCTTGATGAGAGGTGTAAGTACAGAACTCCACATATCCTTACCTGCTTCAACAGATGCAGGGACATAATCTTTTTTCAAAAATTTCAATAGGTTTGGGGGGTACAAGTATAGTTTTGCTACATGGATATACTGTATAGCAGGGAGGTCTGGGCTTTTAGTGTACCCATCATTCGAAGAGTACACAGTGTACCCAATAGGTAATTTTTCATCCCTCAACACCCTGCCCCCCCCCACCTAGACGAATAATCTTAAAGCACCATACTAATCATAAACCATGCTAATTACTAATCAGCAAAATTCTATTTTAGATATCTGTATTCCAGAAATTAAAAACTCACCCAGTACTTTCTGGTATATTTGTCAGAAAAATATCAGAATTCTTTAAGCGATTATTTATTTATATGGGAGAACTTGGAGGTTAAAAGAATGCATTTTGAAATCACAGGGTCAAAGATTTAAACCTTGACTCTACCATTTACCTATTTGTGAGACACCAGGCAAATTAATTAATCTCTTTTAGCCCTAGTTTCCTTGCCTGGAAAATAGGGATATTATAATAGCTATTTCTACTGTTACTGAGAATTAAGTAGGATAATTTATATTTGCTATTACTATGTCCTGACACACAATATTTCTCAACTAATGGTAATTACTTCTAATTATTATATGCCAGGCACTTTCCCAGGTTCTAGGACTTGAAAATAAAGTGACACAGTTTCTAACCTTAAAGTATCATAGTTAAACTATGATCACAGTTAAAATGCTGCTATGGAGGTTAGCTCAGGATGCAATGTGAACACAAAGGAAGAAGTATTTATGTTTACTGAAGAGTATAAAGGAGGCTTTATAGAAAAGGTAAAGTTTGAGATAGGAATTATATGATGAAAAGGACTTTAACAAGTAGTGAAAGAAGAGGCAGGGTACATTACAGACAGGAGGATACTACAGAAGAATAAGAAGAATATGTAGTAGTAACAGTATGACAGGAACACACAGGGTACAGACAGAAGAATGAAACAAAGAACTGGACAGCTTTATAGGGTAAAGATCACAGAAGGCCTTGTATGACATACAAAGAGTTAACATTTTAAGGTCAGCTTTTAAAATTTTTAAGAGGTGGGGTCTTGCTATGTTGCCCGGGCTGATCTCCTGGCCTCAAGGGATTCTCCTGCCTCAGCCTCCTGAGTAGCTGAGGCTATAGGCACGGGCTACTGTTCCTGCCTAAGACCAGCTTTTAAGCTCCACAGGCAGGAGGTTTTTTGTTTGTTTGTTTTTTGAGACAGAATCTTGCTCTGTTGTCTGGTCTAGAGTGCCATGGCATCAGCCTAGCTCACAGCAACTTCAAACTCCTGGGTTCAAGCAATCCTCCTGCCTCAGCCTCCTGAGTAGCTGGGGCTACAGGCATGTGCCACCATGCCCGGCTAATTTTTTCTATTTTTAGTAGAGATGGGGTCCTGCTCTTGCTCAGGCTGGTCTTGAACTCCTGAGCTCAGTCATCTTCTCCTCTCAGCCTCCCAGAGTGCTAGGATTACAGGCGTGAGCCACCGCACTCGGCCAAGGGCAGGAATTTAAAAGGAACCTGTTTTGTTCATCATTGGCAACAAATGTTTAAGGAATAGACACTGACATATTTTGAATAAATTAAAAAATAAAGCAATTGGAAGATAAAAGAATTTTAAGCAAGCGAGCAATGTGACTATACGGAAGTAAAATGCAAGGCAGGGAAACCAGTAATAAGGCAAATGACAAGTCAGATGAAAGAAAAAAGTGTAATGTAGGGCCACCACGGCAATGTGAATGAAGACGTGAAGAAAGATATAATTTTTTTATTGTGGAAGCAGACTCAACAGTACTTGGTTATTGACTGGATGACTAAATGTGAGGCAAGAAAAAGTTGTAGAATGATTTCTCCCTACACTATTCCTATGTTGGTATGGTTAACATGTTCAACAAGATAATGGTAATTCTTACTTGATGTCCCACCTGTAGTGTTCTGACTATGTGAAGGAAGCAAGTAAGAGTAAAAATATACAGCTTATGTTGGAAGCAGAAAAGCAGAGGCAGTGCAAGAAGATATCCTGAAACAACATTAAGGAACCCACCACAGTTACACTCCATTTCCTTCCATCACTTTCACTGTTTATTTCCTCCCTCTACTCATACCTTCAATGTTGGCTTTCAGCAGCGTTCAATCACTGACAACTCTTCCCTCCCAGGCTCTTAAACTTTGGTGTTTCTCAAAGTTCTGTCTTCAGCCTTCTTCCCTCTCTATAAACTGTGCCTGGGTGATTTAATTTAATTTATTCTTAACTACCACTTAGAAGTTGAAGATTCTCAAATCTCTTATCTCTAGCTCAGAACTTTTCCCCAAGCTGCAGACCTATATAATCAACAGCATATTAGACACATCCTTGTGGAGGTTTCTCAAAGGTACCACAATCACAAAATGCCCCCAAATCCAATCCCTCATTTTCTATAAACCTAATAGTCCAACCGTCTAATAATATTAAAGTATAATGTAAATTCAGAAAAGCACACACGTAAGAGTTATCACTCACAGAATTCTCTCAAACTGAAAATGCCTGTCTAACCAGCTCCAAATCAAGAAACAAAACATTATTAGCTTCCCAGAAGCCCCCTCTCATGCCTCTTCTAGTAAGAATCGACTCCCGAGGGTATCCAATAACCTGCTTGTGCTTATTTCCTACATCCTAGGGCACTTGTGCAGATGATTTCCAATGGCAAGGTCACGGACAATACTAAGTAAAACTGGGTGGTAGAAATAGGTATGTGATACTTTTTCCTACTTGCTATCCCTCTCCAACCTAAATGGGTATTTTCAACTAGTCTGTAGATGAGAACACCACTAGAGTAAAAGGAGAGTTGCGAGGCTGACACCACAGCACTCACTCTAGCCTGGGCAACAAAGCGAGACTCTGTCACAAAAAAAAAAAATTTCCCATGAAATGCAAATCAAGGCCTGTTAATACCTTTTTAATACATTTCGTAACAAGGCATTTTCTTGATGTTTAATAAGCTAAATGAATGATGTGATATACAAATTCTGACATAGTATCGATGTGGCTGCTTAAAGGCTCAAGTCCCACTGAATAAAAACTTCAATAAGATGAGAAGCAGAGATATTTAAATTTTTGTTAAATTTATAAATGATTATGAAGTAGTAATGCTGTTCCTTTATAGTGGTATGAGGAGATTAAAGGAAGATTCTCTAAAGACAAAGGACTAAACTGCTTAAACATTTTTATGGATAAATATTACCTAAATATCTAGAAAATAAATACTAATTAATAGGTATTAACTACCAAATCAATCTTAAATACCCCCCCTCTGGTGGTGGGAAGAGGTTAGATAAAAATGTTTCCCATCACACCTGAGATAAGCTTTCGTTGTCTTAATTATTAGAACATTTTACCTAAAAACAAAAAAGGAACTTATATTTTATTTTCCATATATTCCAACATTGTTATCTAGGCCTGGAATAGCATCTTATTTCATAACACTCATTAACCATTTTTAACAACTCAGGCAAAAGTCTTTTTCAAATTCCAACTTTGTATGAGATATTTCAGATATAGCAGTTTACTACTGAACCTTTTTAAGTCCAAAATGTTACACATGGCCCTTTCTATTTTAAAAGAGTACATGTCTATGACAGGAAAAGAGGCCAATTCCGAAGTCATTCTTGACTGACATAATTCTGAGTTTAAAAAAAACGTATAAGCCAAGTGTGGTGGCTTGTGCCTATAGTCCCAGCTACTTGGGAGGCTGATCGCTTGAGCCTAGGAGATTAATGGCAACCTGGGCAACATAACAAGACCTCATTGTTAAAAATACAAAAAAAAAATGTGTGTGTATTTATACACTTTAAATATATATATATATATATATATTTATATTTAAAGATTTTAAAACTAGGATTGTTTACATGGAACATTGAATCTTGAACACCCTAAAGTAATATCAATTTGTTGTACATTCTAAAATGGTGTCTAGGTAATACTATGAAGGGGAACAATTAATTAGGTAGTTATCAGATCAGTAGTTCCTAAATGTGTGGGGCAGGCTTTATTAGAAAGCTACCTATTTAAAATACGGATTCCTCATGAAAACATCAGACAAACTCAAACTGAGAGACATGCTACAAAATAACTAGCCATTATGCTTCAAAAGTGAAAATATCTTAAAAGAAAAAGACTGAGCAATTATCCCAAATTGGAGATGAAAAAATGCAATGTAGAATCCTGAACTGGATCCTGGCCAACAAAAAAAGGGAACTGACAAAAATTTGCATGTGGTAGGCAGATTAGTTAATAGGATTATATAAATGTTTATTTC